GGCCGAGAGGCACCTAGTGGTGTCGGGAAGCACAGCAGAGCCACCAAGGCCACCCCAAAAGTGACACCCAGCCCAGCCCCAAGCACTGCTTCGCTCGCCGACCTGCGAGATGCCACCCGGCTCTTCCCTCCAGCCCCGCTCTTCCATCCGCCCCCCCGACTCCAGCATCACCTTTGGAAAGAGAGCGAAGCTGGCCTGTGGCACAGTTACCGCCGCTTTCATCCAAAAATCCGTCAGGACCTGTCTCAGCTTCCCGGCTCGTCCCAAGTCAACAGAGGCTGGGTTGTGTTCCCGCTGGGGACAGCCCACTGCAGCCCTGCTAGCAGCTCCTAGCAGGGCAGAAAGTTCCCCCTACCAAGCAAATCGCCCTGCGGGCTTCTCCCACACAACCATACCAGGCCCTTCGCTTCACACCTTGGAAAAACTTAGAAAAACTTCAAAATCAGACTACGAGGTCCTTGGAGGCGTGTTTGTCTCGGCCTGTTTCTGTGGCATCTGATTGCATCCTCTGGGCAGTGTTGCAATAAAAGCGACAGGACTAGTTACACACAGAGTAGGTACTACAGCGTGCTGTGAGGCGCAGCACGCCTCTCCTCCTCTCTCTGTACCTCCACCCTCCAGATTACTGCCTCAGAGCAGCTAGGGATCTCATGTAAAAGCGACACAAAATGTTGAAACAGCAGACAACAGAAGAAAAACCCACCATCCCTCTAACGCAATCTCAAGAAATCATGTTTTCTAGCAGATGCAAGCAGCTGCCCCAGCACTTGACATCGTAATACCAATTCCGATTCAATTCCAGGATCAAATCCTCTTATCACTGAGGCTGTTTGTAGCCCGTTTCCCTTCTTACCTAAACCCCCTGCATTTATCTTCAGACAGGCTTGCACCCATCCTAAACATCATTATGCTTCGCAGCTCCCTGGGCAGTTCAGTTCTGTACAGGCTTTGTGCCACCCTCACTGTGTCACTTGTACAGAATAACCCAAGACCACCAGAAGTGCAGCAACAGCTTCTCTTAAAGGTCACTGATTTCTGTGCAAGTTCAGCATTTATCTTCCATATAAATGAGAAACTGGAAAGGACACCTTAGCCATCGTCCAGTGATGCAAGACTCATCCTTACAAAGTACATGGAGGTAAGACAGAAACCTCTAAAGAATCACTGAAGTTTACTTTTGGTCTAAATAAAACCTCCAGCTCAGAAGTCTCCCAGTGTTGAAAAAGAAAGCAGCAGTTATTTTTACAGTGATTCAATTAGAGCATAAACATTTACACCATGTCTACCAGATCTAACAACTAAATCTGTTTTAAAATTGCCATGTGGCAGAGTATAGAACATAGAAACCACACAAGTCTAAACTTCGAACAGTTTCAAAAGGCAAAAAAAGTCTAATTGAAGACTGAAGCTGTGTAAGATTACAGAAACACGAAAGCAAGGCAGAGTCACAGTCCTTATCATTATCTTCCCCTGACATGGTTTCACTCCATCCTCCTGTACATTTGCTCTCTCTCCCACCGCTTTCTTCGGAAGGAATAAGGGTAGGGGAGTTCAGGTCGACTTTGTCTTGATGTGAACCCAGACGTATGTACTTTTAGATAAGGAAGACCTGCAGGTCTCCCTCGCCCATTCATTCTGGTCTTGATAGGCAGGACTGCTTTCAGCAAACACGCCAGCATGTAACAATATTAGGGAGGTTTTTGAAAAGTGTTTATACAACCTGGCTGCCTTCCTTTCTTAAAGGGATTATTTCCAATTTGAGAGACAGGCAGCTCTCCTCAACAGCTTGTCTGGACACCCCGATTAATTCCTGCCTAAAGACCTGCACAGTAACATCCTCCCCAGCACCTGAAAAGATGTTTTTCCTAGATCTTTCTCACCTTTGTACAACCCTACCTCACCAAGACTGCAGCAGAGCGCACATGTTTCATTGTCTAAAGCACAGAGGGCTTCTCCTACTGAGGGTATCAATGGATTTCACTGTTTCCTCTGGGCTTACTTGCTCACCAATCTCAAAGCGTATCTTCAGGGGCAGCACAGTATTAGAGAGTGAATGCTGTAGCCTGAAACTCTCCCTCCACACGATACAGAGGACTAGGAGTAAAATATGAAACCCATTTATAACTCATGAAATTCTATCCATAGAGGAAGTGAGAAAAAAAGAAAAAAAAAAAAAAGGCAAGTTTAATTCAAAATAGAAGATTTGAGCCGTTTGCTTTTCAACGCACCACAGTGGTCTTATCTCATGCCATCAGTATCTCGAAAGCCTTTTACCCACACCATCTTGCACAGCATGTTCCTTATCAAATGAAAGCACAGAATCCCCAGCAGACAAGTTAATTTTCTTGCTTTGGGAAAGCCAGCATACTTATGGGTAACTAGCATCAGCCATGCGGTAGCAATTCCAAAGATGGAAATTCTGTCCGTGCTGTTTGAGTAATAGTGCACCACCGAAATGGCATGTGTGTAACACCAAGAGAGGACTTTGTCCTTTTGCCTTAGGGAGTAAATACTTTCTAAGTGCAAAAAAGTCACAAGTGGAAGCACCTAACAAGGAATCATGGCTGATAGGGAATGCCCTTGGCATTCTCCTCTCACTCTATAGAAACAACTCGGCATGTCCAACATCTCCCATCAGGTTTCTCCCCTGTATTCTCCAATAAATCCATCCTTTAAAACAGAAGACTAATGACCAACAAGAAGCAGTATCCAAACTTCAACAGGCTTTACTTTAAAAATTAACAAAAAAAATAAACATGTAGCAATAAGGAACACAACAGAGCTACAGCTCAGGGAACAAAACTGCTGCAGCTCCAGTTGGGGTAATTCATCACAGCCCTGAAACAAATTACTTCCATTTCTCACTGCTACACACCCAGCACCGAGAAACTCCCAAGTGCCGAGCAAACAGCCTGACTGACACCCATGTGAGAGAAGTGCTGGTGTTCCTGTTCAGAGAGGGAAGAAAAATGCAACACAGCATGTAGTTTACACAGACGGTCATTAGGGAGAAAAAAAAAATATATATATATATAGATAAGGTGAGAATTCAGACAGGCTTCTCCAGCGCAGAACAATGACTGTAAGAGGTTCCCTCTCTGCAGCGTGACATACAGGGTGGCTATTTCAGGAGTGTACGCAGAGAGTTAAGTTGAGGATAAATGATGCTTTGAAGCGAAGTGACAGGTTGACAGCATAACATCCAAGAGACAGACAACACAACTTTCTGAACACTGTCCAACACAGTAACTTGTGGACAACGACAGATAGAAAAGCCCTGGGAACAGAAACTCCTCCACGAACAGGTACCACCTACAACTACCCGCCCACCACAGCATCCTTCAGGTACCAGCGTCAACTTTGTGCTGCCTTCAAAGGCTGAGTGACCCCACAGGGACCAAAACCAGTGACCCTTTGGAGGGGTTTGCAGCCTGAGGGGATGAGGCGCAACAGAATGGGCCCGAAACACCAGAAACTTGGTGTCTCTGTAAACATGGTGTCTCTATAAACCCACAAAGCCAGTGGCTCTGCAAGCCTTACCCAAGCGGGGTCTAGGTGTACTCCATAATATTCCTTATTTTAGATCCTTATCCTCCTCATGAACTCCACCAGGGAAAGTGTTATTATTATTATCTTCCCGAGGACCCTCAGCCGCCGGGCCCTGCTCAGGACAGCCCACCCCAGGCCACTGGGCCGGGCTCTCCACCTCGCCAGGACCCCCGGGGAGCGGCAACGCCGAAAAGAAAAGGGAAATAAATGAATATGGGGGCGCACGCCGGCTCCTGAGGAAGGCGGCGAAGCGCCGCGGCCGCCACCGGGCCCAGCCGGTTCCCCCCCCCCGCTCCCTCCCTCTGCCGCCGCGGCCCAGCCGGGCCAGGCCCCCGCCGCCGTCCGCCCCCGGACCCCCGGCCTGGGCCGCGCCCGGGCCCCGCTCACCTGCTCGGCGGCTCCGCCGCGAACTCGGCCCCGCCGGACTCCGCCATCTTCGCTGCGCGGCCGCCGCCGGGCCCGGCGCTTGGGAGGCGGCGGGAGCCGCCGCGTTAAAGGCGCAGGAGCGAGCGGGGCCCGCGGCGGGAACCGGGGCGCTGCTCCCCTCCCGCCGGGCCTGGCACCGCCCCGCCGCCACCGGGGCCGGGCACCGCCCCGCCGAGCAGGGGGCCCGGGGGACTGTCACCTCCCCATGGCTGAGGGGAAATGGGGGGCTGTCACCTCCCCATGGATAAGGAGAACTGGGAGCTGTCACCTCTCCATGGATAAAGGGAACCGGTGGGCTGTCACCTCCCTGTGGATAAGGGGATCTGGGGGCTGTCAACTCCCCATAGATAAGAGGAACTGGAGGGCTGTCACCTCCTCGTGGCTGAGGGGAACTGGGGGGCTGTCACCTCTCCATGGCTGAGGGGAACTGGGGGGCTGTCACCTCTCCATGGCTGAGGGGAACTGGGGGCTGTCACCTCTCCATGGCTGAGGGGAACTGGGGGCTGTCACCTCTCCATGGCTGAGGGGAACTGGGGGGCTGTCACCTCTCCATAGCTGAGGGGACCTGGGTGCTGTCACCTCTCCATGGCTGAGGGGAACTGGGGGGCTGTCACCTCCCCATGGCTGAGGGGTTTCAGGGGCTGTCACCCTCCGATGGCCGTGGAGCCCTGGGGTCTGCCACCTCCCCATGGCCATGGGGTCACTGGGGGCTGTCACTACCCCGTGGCTGAGGGGACTTGGGGGGATCTGTCACTGCCCCACAGCTGAGGAGGTCCGAGGAGGTTTGCCACCACCCCACAGGCCACCATGAGCCTCCTCGTGCCAGCACCCTCCCGCTGACCATCATCCAACAGCAGCCGATGGCCCCTGCCCGCAGCCTGCACCCAAACTCCTTCCCTCGGGATTTCACATAAGACTCGTTAAATGTCTCCCGCAGGGACCCTCGTGTGTGCAACCAGCCCGGGGGCTGCGGGGACAGCGCTGTTCCCCGTCACCCTGGGGACGAAGCCGCCCGCCATGCCATCTGGACGATTATGGACCAGGTTTTATTGCCATAAACACTTTGTGCAAGAGCAACAGTACCCTCCAGAGGGTGCAGTCTTGTCGCCGGAGATCGCGGCGCTCCGGCTGCGCCGTCTCCGTGCCAAAGATGCCTTCGCCGCCCCACGTCCCCACACATGGTCAGCATCAGAGTCGCTCCCAGCTTCTCCCCAAAGCGACCGGTGGGGACGAGGCCAAAAAGTCGCAGGGTGCGTGTAATTTTTAAAGCCGGCACGCATCTGGAGAGAGCGGTCTGTCTAGAGGGCATTCCACTCATCAGTGGAAATCAGGCAATTATTCATAGCGGTGGCTCTGCCAACGACCGGGGGTAAATTTCTTTGATTTCCCATGCCTCGGTGTCCACATCTGTACAAGGAAAAGGGGGAATTCGTACATGAGAATAAACGCACTTGGAAAGCCGTGAAAATACTCTTTCAAGTCAGCCTGATGAAAACTTCATGTTCTGGAGCCCTCCTGCTTCAAGGAGAGCAATCTGTTTCAGAGGCAAAGCTGTGTATTTTTCTTATTTAAACCTTCTAAATCTGCTGGAGCATTAAAAATATTTGGCATTTCCACAGCACATTTCATTCCCAGCTCCAAATGCGTTTTACAGACATTCATTAATTAAGCCTCGTAAAACCTTTGGGAGAAAGGGAAGCAGTACTTATTAATTTGCTATTTGTATTGCTGCAGTGCACGGAGACCCCAGCCAGGACCTCAGGGCCCTGTTATTTTAGACCCGACCTCCACAGAAGAGGAGATGTCAGCGCGCTGAGGCGCGGGGAGAGCGGGAGGAGGCACGGGAGAGGCAGCGGATGGAAGTTAATGCCGTAAGTCATCGGCAGAGCCCACAGCAGTCCACCCCCGGTGTTTCACCACGATGCCCTTTCCACTGGGCAGTGCTGCCTGCAAGATGGAGCTGTGGGAGCAAGCGTGGCTCCCGCTCCAGCTCTCCCCCCACCTCTTTGTTTTGCATTTTGCTGGTGTTTGGGGGCTCCTGCCCCTCCTTACCAACCCCTTGCGCTTGTCCTGCTTCCTCAGACACCAGCTCTGCTTCATTTGATACCTTCCACTTTCTCCTGGGGTCGCTTTCTGTAGCTTTAGCTTTGCAGTGCGCCCCGCTCTTTTAAAAGGTTTAAAATAAACACTTTCCCCTTATTATTTTTAGGTCCATGTACATATTTTAAGTGCATCTATTTCGGCTCAATAAATGCACAGCAATAAAGCAGCCCTGCTGATGGCTAGCCGGGCCAGACCGCCCGCTCGGTGCGGACCTCTCCATCCCAGGTGGGTCGGTGGATGGGAGCTGTGAACGTTACACCTCTGCTTCCCCTGCAGGAAAAACCAGGCTGTGCCGCATGCTGTAAATGCCTTTCACGTGTTCCCCAGATCCCAGTTAAATTGAACCCCAGAAGGTCTCTCAAAGCATGAAAAATGCATTTATAAGATGCTGGAAGGAAGATGTATTCCATAACTACTCTGGTGACCAGGCGTGCTGACTTGTGTCATGTGGAGAAGGAACCAAAAGGGGGTATTTCTTGTTATTTCATACTGCTGATGGGATTTTATCTCTCACAGCAAATCCAGGAACTTTTTAGTTACCATTATTGTTTGATTTTATGGGCCATTTGATATTTATTTTTATTTCTATTCATTATTTGTTGAGTGCACTTAGCCCTTTCCCCAAGGAGCCTGCCTTATATCTAAGGTGATTTTTATGACCAGTGTTAGCACAGCATCTGAGCAACTCACACAACTTTAATATATTTATTCCACACACACAGTATATCAAGGCAGTCCTGGTTTTCCTACTGTGGAGAGTGGTGGTCTGCCTGTAAAATCACAAGTCTAACTCGCTGGGTTAAAAAATAAAAAGAATAAACTCCAAACTATTTACATTCTTCTTCTTTCTGATCTTCATTTTAAGCCATCAGAATGTATTTGAGTCATCTTTTCATGTTTTTTTTCCCCCTTACAAAACATGAGGTCTAGCAATGTACCTTTTACTGCAAGCCAAGCTCTCGCATATCCCACGACTCCCACAGCTGGGGCTTTAAAATCTGCATCCAACACTGTGAGACTAATGACAAAATCATGAGCTGGCAGCGCTGCCTTTTCCTCCGACCTTTTCGTTTCATCCTGCAGGCGCTCAGAAACAGGAATTCCTCACAGCTCGCAGCACTATCGGTCCACGCAGTTTGAGTTGGGTGGAGGAGGCGGACAGCTGGCCACAACGAGGTTGTTTTTTTTTTTTTTTTTCCCAATTCTTGCTAGATTTTCCCCAGCACAACAAAGCCTCTCCATTCCTTTATTTGCTATTATTGTGGAGGATTCTGTGAGTGACCACCCTCTCGCTCCCGGCCTCCGCACAGCAACGAGCGCTGCTCCATCCCCTGCTTGTCACACGTGTCTGGAGGGTGCTGGGGGTTTTTTCGGTGCCTGTGCTTCTGCCTGGTTTTATTCCCTCTCAATTTCTGGTAGCCTGCTCTGTGCTAATCCCCATGTAATCCCAGCAAGCATGTGAGCCCGGGGAGGGCTCGAGCGCACGGGCTGGGGTGCGTCTGCGTGTGCTGGCGGAGCCGGGGCTCTCTGTGTAAAGATGGGCCATGGCATCGTGTGAGCTGGTCCTTCTCCCTCCCTTTTCTTTTGCCCCCTCAGGATACGCTCCCTGCATCTCCCCACAGTCCTGTTCAGGCACTGAGAGCTTTTAGCTCCCTCAGACCTTACTGGTCTCTCCTGGGAGGCTGGTGAAGGTGAGATTCTCTCTCCTTTTCCCACCTTGAGCACCGTCTCTGCCAGTTGCCGCCGCAAATAACACTGTGGCTGACACCAGCCAGCAGCCCCGGGGGAAAAGGGGGTACCTGAGCCCCCCAGGCAGGATGAGGTCTGGAGGCTCCCACCCACCCTGGGGCACAAACCAGCCCTGCAGGTCCCAAACCTCCTGCTGCAGAGCCGAACCCACACAGCAACCGCTGCCGAGGCTCCGGCACGATGCACCAGCTGAGCTGCAACCCCTCCCTGCCGGGATGGAGGCGACACGGCTTTTGGGCTGGGTTCCCACCCCCGGGCAGCATCTCCCACCCCCCGTGGGTGCCATCTCATGCAGCACAGACAACACACGTGTATGCAAACACTCGTGCTGGGAGGTGTATATATAGGTACGGCTATGCCCTGCGCTGAAGAGCGAGCGGGAGGAGCAGGCTGAGCGGGAAGCAGGCAGCAGAGCCACGTGGAGTCTGGATCAGGGGAAGGCTGAACACCTTCTTTTGTGAATCTTGAGCTCCTTCCACTCCCACGCTCAGCGGGGCGAGCTGACGCACGCGGCACCCACGGGAGCCGGTTCCCACGCCAGCTGGAGGCCTTGGCTGTCCCCGGTGCCGTTCGGCACCGGTGCGAGGCCCCGATCCAGCATATCCCCCCCCCCTGCACGTGCTGCAGCGTGAAGCACACGTGTCACCCCCGTGAAATCCGCGGGACGGCTCCAGCGCCTGAAGGTGAGCCGGCGCCACGCCGCGTCGGCACGGAAGGGAGCCCGATTCCCACCCTCCCGGCCAAACCGCAACCATACATCCCTGCTTTCCCTGACCAGCTTGGCTGCGCTCCTCACCTGGCAAAAGAACACACGGCAGCGAAAATAAACACGGAGGGAAGCGAAGCCCCTCATGGCCCGGCGAGCGAGGTCTGCGTTCCAAGAAGTAATGAAGCCCAGGGAATGGAAAATGCATGTCACTTGGCGGCGGGCTGGATGCGCGCAGGCGCTCCGTGCCGGCTGCCGGGAGGGTGCTTCGCCTCTACACGGCATCGCCACGGCACAGCAGCTGCGCCAGGTCCAGCCAGCGGCACCGCGCTGAACTCTGACATTTGAAGACGGAGAATAATTTGGCTTCATTAGCCTCCCCCTTTCCCCCCCGCCCCGAGCGGTCCCTCGAGCCAGGCTGGAATGTGCGTGGTAGGGACAGAACCAATCCCATTAGCACAAGGAGATTGTTTTTCGTTTGGTTTTGTTGTTGTTGAATCACCCGTGGCTCCGCTTCTTTGGGGTAGGTCGTAGGAAGGAGGACGGGGAGAGGAAAGCCATGGGTGTCTTTTCCCAGGTGGCCATCCCCAGCACGGCGCTCCCCTGCCAGCCCGGCTGCCTGATTTCAGCAGCACCGTGAGGTTTCCGTCTTTGAAGGCCTCGTGAGCTTTGCTGCTGGATCCAGGATGGTGCCCGATGTGGTTGGAAGGAGCATTTGTAAAAGCAAGGGCTCAGCTCCCACGCGCGGGGTCAGGAAGGTGCTGCAAGCCAGCGGCACTGCCAGAGCTCACTTTGAACCCCCATCCAAGTCCCCACCCCACACCCTCATCCTCGCTCCATCTCGGGATGGAGACTCACCTCCAGTGAGGTTAAAGCTGAATTTACAGCTCTGTGTGCTGGTCAGGACAGCACCGGATTGCAGCCATGTGCTAGCAGGACCCGGGCCAGGGGCAGTGAGAGGCAGCTGGAGCAGCTAGAAAATATCCTTTTCCCAGCTGAGATAGAAGCCCAAGCTCTTTTTCCATCATCTTCAAAAGCTCTGCTCTGGCAGGGCCCAAAACTGCTGTTTTACCCTGGTTGTGCTTTCTCATGAAAGACCCTCATTCCTCCAACACGAGACAAGAAGAAGAAATCTCCCTCGCAGCTGCTTTGTGTCCACCAACATCTCCCTGGGATGCGAGTGGGAAGGGGAGTGATGGGCGCAAACCCAGGTGAACCAACTCCGCATCAGGAGAATCGGTCACAAATCATGAAAATGGGGGTTGGCACGTGTGTGTGCAAGGCAGGGACTTCTGAAAGTCCTTCCCCACCCCGCTGTCCCAGTCCTGGGCATCCCATGGACCCCAATGCTCTTCCCAAGCAGAGTCGTCCCGGCGGGATACGGCACAGGGCTCCGGGCATCTGTCAGTGGGACAAGGAGTTGCGAGTGCTCCCGAAGTCATCCTCGGCACGGGAGAGCACGATGAGAAATAGGGGCAAACGACACCGTTGGGAGCAGCCGGCGAGAGGGGAGGGAAATCCGTGAGCAAATGCATTCGCCGCGTGGCCTGGCTCCTCAGCTGGAGTGTGCGAGCGGCAGTGGAGCCCGGCCAGCTCCCGGCAGCTGAGATTTGCCGGGGGGGGAGCGAGGAGGGGGGGCATTTTCCAGAGGTGAGAACAGCAGCCACAGAGAGAACGGCCAGGGGGGCTCCACCACCCCCAGCCACATCCAGCGAGACCCCCGTGACCCTCAGCACCCGCTGCCAGCACGGAGGCTGAGCGATGGCATCACACAAGCAGGGGAGATGCCTTGGGGGTCCGCTGCGGAGACGGGGGCGGGGGGACAGCTTGCTGGCCTCCCCCTGATTTTGGAGGCCGCTTCTTGCTGCGCTGTGGCTAACCGACCCACGGCCGGGCACGCAGATGCTTGCCATGAGAATGTGACCAGCCGTGGGTTCGTGGTCCTCCGTGCCCTTGCCACCAGCCATGGGCTGGAGGGTGCAATCCCGCCGCGGGCTGGCTTTGCCCAACGCCGATGGGGCCACACACCATGAATTTTGCTTCCCCCCATGAAAAAATAAAAGAGGGAGCGAGAAGGAAAAGGCGTCGGGTGGAAAACACCCCGGCTGCCTGCTGGGGGGAGTGGAACCAGCTAATTTCATGCGTCTCCTTCTTGTTAGAGTGGGGTCCCTCCTCACCTGCTCCTGGGCATGGTTTCCTGCACCCCGAGCCAGCAACGAGGAATTTGACTCCAGTTTAAAGGCGAGGAGCTTGTCCACGGTTTGTAGCCCAGCTCCCATCCCAGGAGGGGACCCGCTTGGAGCTGCTGCCCGCGACAGGCAGGGTTTACCAGCTGTCTGCACCAATCTTGTGCCCGGCCACCTCCCCCTGCTCCAGCCCATGGCAGGGGGATGCAGAGAGCCCCGTGCTGGGGGTCTCACCCCCAGGTAGCACCGTTTTCCTTGTTTGCTCCTCCTTGCACCCAACTGCTGCTCCGTCACTGCAGGGTGTCTGGGGGCAAGCAGCTGCCAGCCTGTAATGGGGCTCAATGCTGATATTCTGGGCTACATATGGAAAATGCCAGAGAAAGACACCCCCTGATACACCATTCGGGGGGGCACTCGGTGGCTTGGCCCTTGGCTAGGGGGGGTTGCCTCTGGGTCACCAGCTTGTGCCTACCGCAAAGGCTGTTCAGCACTGGGCTCGCACCTCTCAGCCCTTCCCTGTTGTCCGGCGGGCCCCCGACACCCCTCTGCCCACCCTGGCACCCCGAGGCACCCAGCTGCTTGCTGAGGACACCGTGCAAGCCCCCAAATCCAACCGCCTGGGCAACGAGGCCAGGGCACACAGCCTGCCTCCCCCGCATAGCCAAGGCTGCCCGGAGCATCCTCTGCATGGCTCCCTGCCTGCCGCACAGGCAGCGAGCTGAAAACACCATCCCTCTCCCCTCCCCGTTCAGCGAGCTGAGCCCAGCCCGCAGAGCACAGCATCCCCCTCCAGCACCCAGCGCTTGCCGCGCTGCGTGGGGGTGACATCGCACCCCCCAATTTAGGGACAAGCGGGGGCTGTGCTCCGGCAGCCAAGGCTGCTGGCAGGCAGCAGACCAAGCTCTGCATCCCCTTTGGAGATCCTTCTTCGGCTGTGACTTGTGTCGAGCACCCCAACATCCATCCGCAGCCCTCTTGGGGGTCAGGCAGCATCTCCTTGTCCCTGGCTCTGCATCCCAGAGAAAACAAGTGGCTGAGGCCAGCACCAGCCCCGGCTCCTCAGGGGCCCCGCGCCGCTGCTGGCTCCGAGGACGGGACCCCGCTGAGCTACTGAAGTGCTAAAAATGAGCCTCCAGGCCCTTGCGTGAGCTTTTGTGTCGTGCTTGGCATGGGGAGAGCTCGGCTGTGGCGTGGACGCGGGCCCCGTGCCAGGAAAAAACACACGCCGCGGGGGAAAGGTGGGCGCGTGCCCGTGCCAGCGCGTCCCGGCCCTCGAGCCGGGGCGGCCGCAGCGCGTTACGCTGACGTGCCACACGCATGCACAGCCCGGTTTATGCTTTCCCTCCTCAAAACGGGCGCCTGGGTGGCGGCAGATGATTTTCCGGGGGGAAAAACCCTCATTGCCCAGCTTTTCTTTACATGCATGTGCGTGCAGTCCTCCCCACTGCCGCCTCTTCCTCCTGGCAGCTGACGTGTTGGGGTGCACGGCTCTCTGCCCACCCCGCGCCCACCCACCCCACGGGTGTTGGTACCACCTCCCCAGAGAACACAGCATCTCCTATTACATTTGAAGCTGAATCTCTCGATCCGGCAAATCTGCAGCCTGCAGCGGAGAGGAGCATCGCTCCGTGTCCATGCAAAACAGCCCAAGCAGGGGATTTCTCTCCGGTTTGCCGGAGGTTTCATCCCAGCTCAGCTTGCAAAGATGGGATGGTGAGCTGGGGACAGATCTGCTCCCCAGCTGGTGACAGTCACCCCGTGAAGCCACCGACTCATCTGGGTCTGGTATAAACCTTTTATTTCCCTTCCGCCCGCGCCACCCAGCCAGCTTGGGGCTGGGTTTGCCCTTTGGAAGCAAAGCCAGGGGGGCTCCATGGCCGCCCTCTCCCCCCCAAACTCATGGCCTGGCACGGTTACACCCCGAGGACGGGGACAGTCACCGTGGCCGGGACACCACCACAGACCCCACCGAACTTTACACTGAGCCGAGCGGCCAAAAAGCAACAATGGTTAAGTGTACCCCAAAACGGACACAAGACCCTCCCACCTCCCCCCCAACCCGGTTCCCCAAACCCAGATATGTTGCACGGGTGAAAGTGATACGGAGCAGCACAAAACCGGCGGGGATGGGGATGAGAGCCCCCCGCCCCACCACGCCATGGCCCACCCCCCCCGAGACCGCTCAGCGCCAGGGAGCAGCTGGCACACGGATAGAGCCTAAAAACCCAAGGGTGGGGTGTCGCGGGTAATAAGTTAATCTGTACAGATGTGTTAGGTGGACGTGGGGATGGCAGGGACCGCCGCCACCGAGCCGTCCCTGCCGAGCACAGGGGTGTCCCCGCGGGGTGCCGGGGGCCGATGAACCACATGCTGGTGCAAATCAAACCACGAAACGATGCACGAAGTCAAGTGATTGGAGAAGGGCAGGGAGATGGGGAGATGCCCTGGCTGCGGGAGCAGAGCCCTGCGGAGCTGGGAAACCCCAGGGCTGGCATCGGGCAGGGATGCTGAGAGCCAGGACAGAGGCATCCCGGCAGCTCCCACCTCCTGCCCGAGCTCGGACACGCTGCAGCAGCACAAGGCAGGGAAACGCCGCCTTGTCCCCTGCTCGGTCCCACCAGCGACCCATCAGCATCGGGGCCAGCCGCCCCGAAAGCATCACGGAGCAGGGAGGGGAAGGAGCCATCCCAGGGCCCCTCCGCAGCTCCAGGAAGGGGCCGGCTGGGTCCTCGCGTGGGCACGGAGGCGGCGAGATCCTCTCCTCTCTCCGGCTGCCAACGCCAAATCCATTCGCCACGTTTCGGCTCCCCAAGGCAATCGGCTCCGGCCGGCGGAAGGGAGTTCCCAGGGCCGGAGACGGCGCCTTGGAGGCTCAGCCCAAGGTGGGAGGCCGGGGATGTGCCGAGCCAAAGCCCAGAACGCTGCAGACACTCTCCATCCCCCCACCACAGCCGGCTCCCTCCTGCCCAACGCTGGACCCATGCCCGGAGGGCTGCGGGGCCCCGGGGGCTCCGGTCGGGAGGAGACAGACCGCCCCGCTACGAGGATGGGCTCCCTCCAGCCTCCCTGCTCTGGCAGCTCCTCTCTTGGCTCCTGAGCTCTGGAAACCAGGATCCCAGCAAACAGCTCATCTACAGAGGAGGCAAAGCTGCTGCCCAGCTCCCGGGAGCCTCCTCTGCAGCGGCTGTCCCTGGGGAGGAGAGTGGGACCAAGCCAGATCGTACCCCCGGTCCCCGCTGTGCCAGAGCCAGAGATGCCCCTCCAGGAGCCAGGGACGGGCAGCAGAGCTGGACCAGGGACAATGCTGTGGGGACAGTGACAGGGAGGTGGTGTGGAGGTGACAGGATGGGGTGGGAGCGCTACAGGATGGTCTTGTCCAGGTCGACTTTGAGGGGCAGCGGCCCCGCATCCTCCTCACCACCGTGCGCGGGGCACAAGGTGACGGCGATGACGGGCGGCAGGGGGAAGGTGCTGGGGCCGTCCAGGTCCTCCAGGTACTCCTTGTCCCCGTTGATGCTCAGAGGCTGGAAGAGAGGCAGAGGGGACCATACAGCCCCAGAGCAAGGGGACAGGACCCTCTTGTCCCCAGACCGGGAACACCGTGGGGCTAGCTAGGGGTGTACTGCACTTGGGCATGCCAACAAGCCCAGCACAGTGGCCGGGGACCACAAACACTGTACGGCCACGTCTCAGCCCTGCAAAGCTCACCCAGCCATAATGGGGAGACCCAGTGTGTCAGGGACCCCCATAGGGCCCCCCCTGAGCTGTGTTGAGCACTGCTCACCCCGTACCTGGGTCTTGACGTGCTGCTCGGGGGCAGTCACCAAACTGGCACAGCTCAGCCACAGCATCACCATGATGGAGAGGAAGAGGCAGGCGGCCAGGATCCAGCGAGGAAGGCCCGAGCGCCTGTAACACCCCACCACCCCCCACCAAAGAAAAAGGACGAGTTTATGGCAGGGCACAGGGTGGGAATTAGGGGCCAGGGGGAGCATCTGATCTGGTATGTTCAGCAGTTGCAGACCCCCCCAGGCCCCCATGCAGCCCCACTGCACCTACTTGGACATGCAGCCGAGGAAATCGTGCTCTGGCTGGGGGGGGTCCGGGTGCTGTGCCTTGGATTTGCCCCGCGGCTCCTTCATGGGGGGCTTCTCCCCCTTTCCCCGGGGGCCTGGCAGGGGAGAGGCGATGCTGAGCCTGAGCACCCGCCAGGGGCACTCCTGCCCTGCTCCCCATCCCCACGCTGGCATGGGTGCAGGGGTGCTGGGTGGTCCCCTCTCCCCCCCTGGGGACCCTCAGCCCGCTGTGGGGGGGCACAGAGGATCCCGGCAGCTTCTTGGAGCGGGTCCCGAGTCCCGACTCACCCCCTTCACGTGGGTGCGGGGTGTGGGAAGCTAATCAGACCCGAGAAGCGGGTAATTCACTTAGCTCTGGAGAAATCAGATGAGATCCAGAAGGGCTCAGAGGCTCCCGGCATCCCCCCCACCCAGGCAGCAACCCGGACCCCCCCGCACCTGTGTGGGGCTGGGGGACACGGGGGCTGGACCCCTGTCCTGGCCGCGCCGGCTGGGTCTCCTGCATCTCGGGGAATGGATACTCCATCTCAGGCTGGGACTGGCAGGTCGGTGGGGAAAGAGGGAGAAAATGGTGAGTAAGGGGGTCCCCACCCGCCTCAGCACCCAGCAGAGAGGGGGCCATGGGACACCCCCACCTGAAACACCACGACTTTGCCATCATCCGCTTGCAGGTAGAAGGTCCAGGTGGAGGAGATGAAGCTCTGGGCAGAGCTGACAATGTCGTTACAGAAAGTGGACACCAAATCGAACACGGAGAACGCCGGCACCTTCAGCTCCAGGCTCTGCAAAGGAGCAGGGACATCGTGTCACCGCTGTCCCCTCGTCACCCACCCCGGCGGACAGCGTCCCACCCTGAGGACGTGGCTGGGTTGAGTCGGGGGTGCTCAGATCTGGGGCTCAACCTGCTTCTCCCAGGGATGGGGATGTGCAGGACCTGTGGTCCGGCCCTGGGAGGGTCACCGAGCCCAGGGCCACGGTCCCCAGGACCATCACCCAGCCCCTCGCAGCAGCCCCGCGCTCGCACCAGCGCTTTAAACAATAGGAGAGAGCGGCCGAGATGCCGAGGGCGTTTCTCTCCTGGCAGCCTCTCCGTGCCCTGGATTCTTGGCCGTCGCGGCGGTTTGTTATTTTTAAAGCATCCCTGCTGGAATCCGCTTGGCTGCTCCCTGCCACTGGCTTCGAACATTTTCCGACAGCCCCTTGCACGGTCAAACCAGCAAACAGGAAATAAATAGGTCAGATTCTGTATCTAATTATTATGCTAAATCTGCTTTGCCTGCTTGTCTGGGAACCCGAAGGAAAAATGCTTTGGGTGGGTGAAGGGGGTAACGGCCCTCCCCGTCAACCGGTCGCCCCTGATGCTCATCCCTGACCTCAGAGAGGGGCTTGGAAATGGGATCAGACACCGGGAAGGTCTTAAAAACAAGCTGCAAAGCTGTTTTTCGAAGGAGCTGCTGCTTTCTACAGCACAAATTCCTCTTCATCTGCACGCATGCAAAGCCAAAAGCCTCTACCTTGGGCCAAAGTCTAATTTAATTAATTGGGTAAAAGCTGAATGAATTAAATGTAGGAGGAAAAAGCGTTGCCAATTGCTGGGAAGGATAACAGATCAAAACTAGAGGAATCTGCAACAGTCACTGGTCAGAACCTCTCACCCTGGGAATTCGGCATAATTGTCCTGCCTGGCCCAAATCTGTGGCAGCCTGAGTTGAGCCCAGTTAATCTGCTTTTTGTGCTTTGGATGAAACAGCGGGACGGGCTCGTATCTCCCCAGCATGCCCAGAGCCCCCCCGTCTGCAGGGGCACGTATCACAGAGGACATAAAATAAAGGAAGATGCAGCAGGCATCCTGCCACGTGGGCTTTGCCGGGCGGTGGGAGCGTGGGGGGAGTGTGCATGGTCCCAATCCAGCCGGGAAAGCACCGAGGGGAGTCGAGTCCTGGTGTCGGGGCTCACCGAGCTGAGAGGCTACGGGCAGGGGTGGCCGGGAGGCTGGGAGGGAGGGAGGGAGGGAGGGAGAGAAGGAAGGGAGGGAGGGAGGGAGGGAAGGAAGGAGGGAGGGAGGGAAGGAAGGAGGGAGAGAAGGAAGAAGGGAGGGAGGGAGGGAAGGAAGGAGGGAGAGAAGGAAGAAGGGATGGAGGGACGGATGGAGGGAAGAATGGAGGAAGAGAAGGAGGAAGAGAAGGAGGGAGGGATGGGCTGTACATATGGGGTGTTGTAGCCCCCATCCCCTGGGAGAGGAGGGGTTGGGCTGAGCTCCAATGGCAAGAAGGGATCCTTCCAAAATTGAGACCCAGGGGCCAAGCCACCACTTCCCAGTGTCCCCCGCCGTGGGTTCCCAGGCAGAGGGTGGCCGGGGGGCTCAGCAGGGTCTCCACTGCGTTGACGTTGGACAAACTTTGGTCCCTGCTGTGCCCAGGATGACCGAGACACCCCGTGTCCCCACACTAGGGGTCAGGCAAAGGCCGAGGTGGCCCAAGAAGCCACCCCAAGGGCAGCCCCACGGCTCCTCGAGGAGACAATGTCTTCCCCAGCCTGTCCCCGTCAGTGCCACGGGGTGAGGGCCCAGCAATGGAGAAACCGGGGTAACCCGGGGGGTCACATCCAGCCCCCGCCACCTCCTGCCCACAGACCCTTTGGGGAAGGAGCCAGATGCAGGGACAGGGCAGAGCCACAACTGGAGGCACCAGGGTCAGGCTGGGTGGGTTAAGGAGGGGGTAGGAACGGGGGCTCCCCATCTTCCTGGCCCCTCACCTTCTCCTTCCTGCTCTCCACCTCCGGCAGCTGCTTGCGGCACCCCGTCACGCAGCCAAACTGCTCCTCTGCGTTGCTGTAGGCTTCAGCGCAGGCTGCGAGGCAGGAGGGGGAAGGTCAGGGTTAGGGGGGTGCTCAATCCCCCTGATGAGCCCCACACCCCCAGGACCGCCCCCCCCCTACCCCTCCCAATTCACACCCAGCGGGTGTAAATCTGCCCCCTGCTTCCTTTGTGGCCCCGGGGCAGAGCGAGGGGCTGAGCGGAGGCAGGATGCTGGGGAGGGTGAAGGCGTCGCGGTGGTGCTGGCAGCGTGCAGGGGGACACACACACACACCCCCCACACCCCCACCCCAGGACAGTGTTTGGGGTGCGGGGGCCGCCGGGCCGCCGGCTCCTCACCTGCTTCACACTCGGCTCTGGTTGTGTTCAGCTCGGCGCTCGCATCCACGAAGTGACAGATGGAGAACAGCCGGCAGCCCCGGTAACAGGCGTTGAGAACAGCATCCTGCAGGGAGGAGGAGGAGGAGAGCGAGGAGCTGGCACCCAACTCAGCCCGATGGCTGCGCCGGACCCCCCCCCCCCCACCAAAACCGCCCCCCACACCCAGCTGGGGGGCACCAGGCACCGCTACAGCACCACAGCCGGGGCTGGGACCCCGAACCCGGGGTGCTGGCATGCCCTGGGGGAGGGAGAGCTGCCTTCACCCCAGTTTGCACCCCGGTTTGCACGTGGCCTTGTCCCCATCGAGGACGTGGTGGGTTCTCCCCCCCCATCTCCGCCCGGGCGCTTGGCACCGGCTTGGCCCCAGCATGGGCTGGCAGGAGGTGGGGGCTGCACTGGAGAGGGTGTGCGTGGTGGGGGTGCACGCTCTGGGAGCACTGGGGGGGGGGGGTGGGATGCACAGGGGATGGCACTAAGCCTACACGGGGGTCACTGTGTGGGGCCAGGGGGCCCCCCAACCTGGGGGGAGCGTGGGCAGGGCTGGGTGCTTCCAGGGAGGGAAAACAACTCCAGCCCCCTCTTGTGCCACCGTGTCTGGGGACCGCTCTGCCACACCGCTGGTGATGGGGTGCTTGGGGGGGGGGCAGGCACCCACTGTGTCCCCAGCAGAGTCTCACCAGTGGCACCCCTAAACCAGGGTGGCTGCTGCCACCAAGGGCACCCCAAACCTGGTGGGGGGTGAGACCTGAGGGGCACCCCAAAGCCACAGTGGAGGCAACCGCAGGGACTCCCACGGTGCTCCCCGTGGGGGGGCCCAGTGTGGGGCTGTGCCCCCACTGTTCCCAGTGCCCCCAGTTTCCCCTGGTCCCTCCTGATGCCTCCAATGCTCCCAATGCTACTGACGCTCCCCCTGTTCCCCGTACCCCCAATACCCCCAGTACCCCCCAATGCCCCTGGCACCCCGGATACCCCCTGTACCCCCCAGTGCCCCCCATTGTTCCCAATTTCCCCTGGTGCTCCCGATCCCCCCTGATGCTCCCCCTGCTCCTGGTACTCCCAATGCTACTGATGCTCCCCCTGTTCCCAGTACCCCCAATACCTCCAGTACCCCCCAGTGCTCCCAGCACCCCCGATACCCCCTGTACCCCCCAGTACCCCACACACTCCCAATTTTCCCTGGTGCTCCTGGTTCCCCCTGATGCCCCCCCAATGCTCCTGGTACTCTCGATTACTCCCGGTACCCCCAATACCCCCGATGCCTCTCATTCACCTGATATCCCTGGTACCCCCGGTAGCCCCGATACCCCTGACACCCCCGGTACCCCCTGTACTCCCAGTACCTCCAATGCCCCCAGTACCCCCGAAAGCCCCGGTGCCCCCCCGTACTCCTGATATCCCCAGTACCCTCGATGCTTCCAGTACCCCCTGTACTCCCAGTACCCCCGATGCCCCCGGTACCCTTGATACCCCTGGTGTCCCCGATACCCCCGGTACCCCCGGTACCCCCGGCGCCCCCGGTGCCCCGCCGGACTCACGGCGGCGGCTCGGCGCGGCAGGCTGCGGCCGCACTGCCCGCGGCAGCCGGTGGTATCTCCCAGCTGGGACGAGAAAGGGTCGGTAGCGGCGGCGGCGGTGGCCAGGGCCAGGCCGAGGGCGAGCAGGGCCCGGGGGCGGCGAGCCGCCATGGCGGGCGCGGGGCGCGGAGCGGCGCGGAGCGGAGCGCACCCACCGCCGCCGCCGCCGCCGCCGCCGCCGCCGGCCTCGCCGTGACGCGCCGTGCGGCGGGCGGGGGCGGCGGGGGGAGCCGGGGGCGGGGGGAGCCGCCGCAGCCTGCCGCAGCTCCGCCGGCACCGGCACCGGCAGCGGCACCGGCACCGGCAACGGTAACGGCAACGGCAACGGTAACGGCAACGGCACCGGCAACGGCAGCGGCACCGGCACCGGCACCGGCAGCAGCACCGGCGGGCAGCGCGGCCCGGGGATGCTGGGAGACGGGAGGTTGGGGGGGTGCGGGAGGATGGGGTGGTACACGGATACCGGGGGATGCTCGGGAACCGGGGGATGCGGGAAGGTTGGGAGCTGAGGGGTGGGAGCTTGGGGTCCAAGAGATGCTCGGGTACCGGGGGATGCTCAGGATGTGGGGGTACCCCGGGATGCGGGAGGACGTGGGGGGGGGGGCAGGGGGGATGCTCCGGCACCGAGGGATGCAGGGAGACCCCGAGATGTGGGGAAAAGGATGGGGGGGGGGGCTGGGGATGGAGGAATGCTCAAGGACCAGGAGGTGTAGGGGAACACTGGGGGATGCGGGGGGACCAGGGGATGCACGGGGATCCCCGGGACATGGCAAGACTGGGGGATGAAGTGGGACAGGGGGAGCCCCACTGACACCAGCAGCACAGAGGGACTGGGCAGAGCAGGTGGACTGGGAGGGGCACATGGGGGCTGGGGGACACACTGGCACTGGTGGCACACAGATGGGGGGTGCAGGGGGACGGGGCTGCAGCAGCACCAGAGCCCCACTGCCCCCCGGGCCAGCACCCAAGAGGGGATAAACCCCTTGGCCCCAGCCAGCATTAGTCTCAGACATGCCACCCCCAGTGACCCTCAGGGCCTCCCCGAGTTGCCTTCATGTACCCCACCCGCACCCCCACCCCACGGGGCCCCTCCCCGGCCAGGGCGCTGGGCTCTCCCTGACACCCCAGATTTACAGCTTTGATTTCCCAGGGTTTAAAAGACATAAAAGGCACAGGCTTGGCCCCGCGCGCACGCTGCCTCGCTGCTGCCCTGCCCATTAGCCTTATTTATGGCAGCACCCCAAAGCAGGCCCGGGGGGAGCAGGAGGAGGAGGAGGAAGAGGGCTGGGGGGCTTCACTAACCTCCAGCCCTAATGGGGAACACATGGCAGGACCCTGGCACGGGGATCAGGGGGGTCTCTGGCTCCCAGCTCAGGGTTGAGGGGTGCTCCATGCCCTGGGGCCTGGGGACAGTGGTGGGGGGGCCGGATCCCCTCGGGGATGGCTGGGGGAGCGCAGCCCCACGCCCCGCCAGGAGCAGGGAGTGGGGCCTCTCCTCACCCCCCTGCGCTCCACCAGCTTATTCATCTTGTTAATCAAACCAGGGCCGGGAGAAAATGTGCTCCGGCCAGGCTGGCGGGGCTGCCGGGTCGGCTCTGCTCCCCCCTTCCCCCTCCTGGAGCCTGTCCAGCCCCGCGGCCTCGTGTCCGGCACCGGTGACTAATGGCCAAGTAAATGGGATAGATTGGAGGCTGTCATCATAAATCACAGCCCCGCGCTGCAGGTGAGGTTTCCATCGGCTGGGAAGGACGGAGCCGGAGCCTCGACCCCCCCGAGGGACCGAAACCCACCGGATCGAGGGCCGGGAACGCCGGGAATGCCGTGCCAAAGGCTGAGCGGACGGTGGGCAACGCTCCCACCGCACCTGCCCCCATGACGCCTGGCGCCGGCCCGTGCTCCATCCACTCACCTTTTAACAGAAAAAACCCTTTCCCAGGCAATAATATTCAAGTTGGCAAATATTTACCGCCCTCCCTCCTCCCCTCTCCAGAAACACTCGATGCCTTTTGCATTTATTACTACTGACCTACATTTATTTTTTTTTCCTGGAGGGTTTTGTGAAGCCGCAGGCTCCCCCCGCACCGGCCGGGGTGTCCCCACGGTCCCCCCATGACTCATCACCCCGTGTCCCAACCCCACAGAGACCATCCTTTGTGCTCAAGCACCCCCTCGACATTAACCACAATTTTTTTCCCTCCCCCTATGGAGATCAGCAAACTCCGTCATGGGACTTTTTGTACTTCCCAAAGCAAACAGAGGCGGGAAGGTGCGGCCGCCCGCTACGAGGATGCTCTTGAGCGAAGGGGTTTTGCTGGGGGGGGTGTGGCAGGGAAGGGGTTAAGCAGGTTATAAATTACCCATGGATGTGGAAATGTGACTGAGAGGAATATAAAGAAAACTCTGACTGCTGGATTCTTTGCATTTCTAGCCTCTTTATTTTTCCCCCAGGTCACTTTAAAAGGATGCAGGCAGTCAGAGGCAGCTCCGCTGCGCCTCTCCTCCTGCTTTTTCTGGGGTTTTGGGCTTTTTTTGTTGTTTGTTTTTTACACCCTGGCCCTTGAGCCAGATGCTGTCTCTGTCCAAGGACTTTATGGAGTGAGCTCTGGCTGGGAAATCAAGTAATTAGATTAAATCGGGGTAGATGTGCTGGGCCCAGCCTTGGTGACACATGATGGAGGGCTGGCAGGAAGGTGATGGCTGGTGGGAAGCTGGACTGAGGATGCTCAGCTGGGGTTTGAGGATGTCACCAAGGCCACCCCGGGGGTCCTGGATCCATCCTGGGGGGGAGTGTCACGTCCTGCCTGGGCAGAGCAGGGACCTCATGGCTGTACGGGCTCCGCTGTTGGGGAGCTGGGCCCCACGGCCAGATCCTGCACCGCAACAGGGCAAAGAGGCCCTGGGAACGGAGCCACGCCGGGGGGGGGGGGGGGGGGGGGGGGGGGGCAGCCGGACCACGCCAGCCCCGGGGGACCCACCGCGCTGACGCCAACAGCCTGGTCAGGGGGTCAGCGGGGGCTGCTGGGCCAGATCCTGCCTCCCCAGCTGCCCGCGGGAGCCCGGCCGGTGCCTGCGAGCGCGGGGGCTCGTGGGCAGGAGGGAGCAGCCTGTTAAAGGTCGCTGTCAAAGGGCAGCGCTGACCACATCTGCCCGCTGACCACATCTGCCCACTGACCACATCTGCCCACTGACCACATCTGCCCGCTGACTCAGAGAGCGGCTCCGTCACCCCTGGCTGCTCCCCGGCGCTGCCACCGCCCGAATCCTGACAGCACCCCAGCACCGCCCCGGGTTTGGGGACCACGGGCACGGCTCGCTCAGGGCTGGCTCTGTGTCCTCCCCTCCCCACCCTGTCCCCACCCCACAGCATCGGGTCTGGGTGCTGCTGTGGGTCGAGGAGGGCGAACGTCCCTGAGCCAGCTGGGGTGACATCCCGGGCACATCCCAGGTGACACCAGTGGGGACCGATGCTCCCCTCTCCTCCCACCCCACCTCCCCCTGAACCCCCAGCAAAGCCTCAAGCCACCTTCTGATGACACCAGCACCGGCCATGTCCCCTCTGCCAGCACCAGGATGGGTGTCACCCCCCCCCCCATCCCCACTTCCCGAAACAGCCACGCTAAATCCCACTTTATTGTTGGCTCCGGGTGGAAGCGGAGGGAAGGAGAAGGCAAATGGGGGAAGTGGTGCAGGTGGGCAGCTGGGATGGCTGCTGGTCCCAACTCCTGCTCCGAGGGAGGGTGATTTCTCCTTCATTTCCCCCCGCCCCCCCCCAGGACCCAGCGCTGGCTCCCACCCCAGGGTGGTTTCCCGGGGGGGATCCGGGCAGTGGGTCGGGCTCGCGGGCGGCCGCCAGCCCCAGGGGCGGCCGTGATTCACTCGGCCAGACTGCGGACGCTGGGGGCTGAAGTTTCTCAGGCTGGGTGGCTCCCGGAGCCTGACATTTTTGGGAAATTTCAACAAAAACAGTTCAGAAGCTTCCAAAAAACGGGACGATGGGAAAAGGCATTGTTTTGTCTCCCTCCCGCTCTCTCTTTTTTTTTTTTTAATTTTATTTTCTAATCTGTGCAGTCCCTGTGGCTGGTGCCCAACAGCTTGGAGCCCTGCAGTGACCCCAACAGAGTGTCACCCCCCTTGTCCCCCCATGGCTGTGGGGCTCAAACCCCTCCCCCCTCCCCCAGTGCTATGGGGCAGGGATGGACTCATGGTGTCACCCCTTTGGGATGTGGGACCCAGCTGTCCCCTGCCACCTCCAGCTCTGTCCCTGTTCTCACAGCCGAGGGGATGCAGGGCATAGAGCTGGGACAGGGAGCAGATGGACAGGGAAAGCCACCTCACAATATCCCCATGGGCTGGAAACGCCCCCCCCCCACCAGCTCTGAGTCCCCAGGGTCACCCCCAAACCTCAGCCATGGCACCGGTCCCACGGCCTCGGGGCTCCCAGCCCCATCAGGGTCAGGGTCACCAGGTCCCTCTGTGTCCCCTCTGGTGAGGGGGAACATGACATGGGCACCCCCCAGCACGGGGTGCTCTGGGGACACCCCGCTGCACCCCCTCCCGCACCCAAAAGACCTAAAGGACACGCAGCTGGGGACAGCTCACGCTCGGTGACGGTGGCCTTGCCCCAACCAGGACCTGCTGTCCCAGGGCTCTGCCACCCACCCGGGGGGGGCTGCAGAGCTCTGGGTGCCACCGAGCCCCGGGCTGGGGGACAGGAGAGGGCACCGGGAGGGGGGCGGGGGGGCGATACCCGAGGGGGTGGCTTTGCCGCGGTGCCAGTGGCACAACCGGACACGCCACCACTGCCCGGGTGCCCTGGGACCCCCGGGGACAAACACAGCCCCAACCCAGTGGGGGCTTGAAGCCATTTGGGGTGGGTTTCCTACCTTTTTGTTTGGTTTGGGGTTTTTGTTTTGGTTTGGTTTGGTTTGGTGTTTTTTTTTCCTGGGAAAAAAACGGAGATGATAAGATCGATAGAAAACATCAGGATTCAGAGGAAGATATTCCCGTTTTCACCCCTAAAAGAATGTAATAGCAAGATTTTGGTCTCCTAAAGACACTTTTGGGTGGGGACCCCCTCGGGGGGGCCGGGCCCGGCCCGGCCGCCTATGCAGCGCCGGGAGCAGCCCCGGGGGCACGGGAGGCTCCGTGGAGGCCACGCGTGAGTCACCCGTGGGAAGGCGGCCCCGGGGCGGCTCTTACTCACCTACCGCGGGGTTCGGGGGGAGCGGGACACCGGCCCCGGGGCGGGGGGGGGGGGGGGGGGGGGGGGGAGAGGGGGCAGCATCCCGCAGCAGCACCGGCCGCACCCCGCGTGTCCGGGGGTCGGTCCCGGGGCCGGTACCGGAGCGGGACGGCGGGGCCCCGGGGCCGGTGCATTTCTGCCCCCCCGGGGGCGGGCCCGGGCCGGGCGGGGCGGGGCCAGGGCGGCATTTAGGGCTTTGGTAACCGGGGGGTTGCTCAGACTTGCTCGGGACTTCCCCGGACGTGCCGGTACGCTCCGCCGCCCCGGGCACCGACGGGCACCGGAGCCGGCCATGCCGCCTTTACCGTTGCTCCCCCCGTTGCTCCTGCTTTTTCTGCGCCTCCTCCGCGCCGAGCCCCTCGCCTGTAAGTACCGGGAGCACCGGGCGGCTCCCGCAAGGTGGGCGCAGGAGGGGGGGGACGACACCGGGGGGTCCCGTCGGGGCCGGGGCAGACGCTTCGCGGAGCCCCCCGGGGCTCCCCCCCGTTCATTGCGGGCCGGGCGGTGCCGGTTCCTGCCCGGGGGGGTGGGTGGGTGGAGGTTAAGGGGGGTTTAGGGGGGTGTGTCCGGTCCCCGGGATGCGGAGCGGCCCCCGGAGCGGCGGGGGCATCGCCGGGCGCACCTCGGGGCTGCGCGTCGCAGGGGAACAGGGACCCCCACACACACCCGCGGAGGGCAGCTGGGACCCCCCCATCACCCTCCGGCAGGCAGACGGGACTCCCCCCTCCCTCCCCGACCCCGTAGCCCAGTCTGGACCCCCACCCCCCCCCCACCTCCTTCTGCCCGCAGAGAACAATAGAGGAACCTTTTTTTCTAATCTCCCCCATCCCCGAGAGCAGCAGGGACCCCCCTTCCTCCCGGGAGCAGCGAGTGACCCCTTTCCCCATGAAGAAGAGGGACCCCTCTCCCCGAGAAGGGTCCATATCCCCCCCGCCCCCTGCCATGCAGACCCCCCCTCCCGGAGAACAATGTGGCTCCGTTCCCCACCCAGGACAATAGAAACCCCCGTCCTCCGTCCAGAGAACAATAGCGAACCCCTTCCCCACGCGACCCCCTCCCACCCCCGGGAGCGATGACCCCCCTTTTCACCCCCCCGTGCCTCTGAGACCCCCTTCTTCCCGCTAAGAACAGTGGGGACCCCCCTTTTCCCCGGAGAGCTGTACCCCCCCCATCCCAGAGAACAATGAATCCCCTTTTCCCCACCCAGAACAATAGGGAGCTCCCTCCCCCGTGGAGAACAATGAATCCCCCCCCTCACCTCCCTTTACCCCCCCCCCCCCAAAAAAAATACCCCTGGGGGCTCCCAAATGATGCCCATTTGGGGGTCCCACCCGGTGGTGGCAGGTCTGGGAGGTGCCACCTGTGGGCTGAGCTATGGGCGGCCTCAGCCCTGTGGGGATCGGGGTCCCCCCTCACTGTGGGACACGGGGGGGGGCTTCCCCCCCCCCCCCCCAACCCCTCCTCACAGAGCCCTAAACCCGAATCAGCCTCCGTCCCACCCGTCGCCTCATTGCTTCCCCTGTGGGCCGAGCGAAGGGGAGGCGAGATCCCGCTCCCCGCGGCAGGAAGTTTGGCTTCCTCCCTGCGATGGGAATCTCTCAGGGCGATGGATGGTGACACCCCGAGGGGTCCCCCCACGCAAAGCCACCGCTCCCGTCTCCCCCTCCCCAGCGATGCCACAGGGGCCCAGCCACCCAGCTCTCCCACCCCCTGAGCCACACGTGTTGTACTGGGGAAGCCTCAAGGAGCAATAATTAGGGCAGGAATTGCAGAAGCAGTGAAGGGGGGAAGGAAAAATGCTCCAAAATTCCTTTTTGGAGCCTCGGAATCGAGGTGGGTTTCAGCGCGGAGCCGTGCCCTTCCCAGGGGCCGGAGGGGTTAATCCCACTGGGGACAATGTGGGGCCGTGGCCGGACCCCCGGGTTGGGGCTGACCCCGCACCCTCCAGTTCACACCAGTAAGGGGATGCCCGGTGCTTCTCACAGCCAGTTTCACCCCCCCAGGACCCCCATTTCCCCCCCATCGGGGTCCGGTGCAGCCCCGCGGCCCCTCGACGTGCGGCGCTGGGGAAAGGCGAAGCCAAATCTCCTTTTAGAGAGCGAATGTTTCCCCTCAGTTCAGCTCGGTCGTGCTCGCTGGAATGCCTGGGCTTTTTATAAATCCCTCCTCGAGCTGAGGGATGGGCACAAGAAATGCCAGTTGGGGAAGAAAAAGAGGAAAAAGAAAGTAGAAAGGAGGGATAAAGCATTTTCGGGTGCCACGTCCGCCTGCAAAACTTGTTGCTTGAGCTTTAGAAGAACTCTAAATATATATATTTTTTTAAAAAATTGTTTTTTCTTGCAGAATTCAGGACTGCCCAAATTTCCTTTTGTTCTTCAGAGCAATTATTTGTGTTATTTTTCCTCAAACCCCTGCACATCTTAAATCTTTAACTGCACAATCTCCGACACTTATCGGAGAGTTTTTTCTTTTCTTTCCCAGCCCCTTAAAACACTGATATAAAAATAAAATGAAATCCGGCCCTTCGGAAGAAAAGCATAAACGTTCCCGACACCTTGGAAATGTGGTTTTACTTTATAGCATTACTTAGCACCTGATCAGCATTTTTTTTTTTTTTTTTTAATAGGAAAGCCATAAAACCCCCGAGCAGGTATTTTCGTTGCGACTTGCACATTCCACAGGCTGCCTGCGTCTCTCCGGCCCTTTCCTCTCCAATCTGAAAACTTCACACTTTTCCCTTTTAAAACACATGTTCGGCGCTGTGTTTGTGCAGAGGGGAGACAAAAAAATCGCAGGGGGAAAAAAAAATAAAAAAAATAAAAAATATATATAAAATTGGCCCCTCCAGAGGCTCCTGCTTGGAAGAGGAAAAAAAAAAAAAATGCAGAGAAAAAAATTAAAAAAAAAAAAAAAAATTGGCCCCTCCAAAGGGTCTTGCTTGGAGGACGGGAATCGTGTCTGTTTTATGGCGCTCGTGTGTGTTTCTGGTGCTGTTTAGATTAAGATTTAGGAGAATTAGGGCCCGGAGTGCCGGGTCTGTTATCGGTGGAGCCAGAGCAGCCCTGGCTCGGCTAATGGAGGAGCCGGTGCTGGGTGGGCTCCTTGGCAGAGCTGGGGATGCTTTTTTTTTTTTTGGAGGCCTCGCTGGAGGATGGGGCGAGTTTTGGGGCTGAACCCCCCCCCAGGGATGGGTTTGCTTTGGGGGTGGGTGGGATGGAGCCGTGCCATCACCCACAAATTCTTGGGGTACCCTGGGGTACCCGGCACTGATGTCTCGGCTGCTTTTACACCCACCCCAACAGCATCCCCTGAGCGCAGGGAGGCACTGCTAATTAAGAGATCTCCAGGGTAATGAGGATTTTGGAGCATTAATTGCGCCGGGGTGGGAGCGGGAGCGGCCGGCGGGTGCTGAAAGCCGATCGGGGCCGGGGAGGTCGGAGGGGAGAGGAGGTCGCGGCACTTTCCGGGAGGTAATTTGGGATATTAGCCTGGCGCGTGCGGATGGAGCCGATAAGGCTGATGGACACGGAAAACCCCGGCGCGGGGTCGGGGGAGCCGTTCCTCTGAAGCCTCGTGGCAGAGGGGGTCTCAATAAAGGAGCAAAGGAGGGGGGGGGATTTCCCATCGCGGAGGGGCTCCCCAGTGAGGACCACCCTTGGGGGGACCCCTCGGGGTGTCCTGGCGCGGGGACCACGTGCTGAGGGGCAAGCGATGGGTTTTGGCAGAGCCCAGTGGTGTTGGGGGGCTGGGGGGGGGTGGTCAGTGCTGGTCTTGGCCCTCGGCAGCGTGCTGGGGGTGGGGGGGGGCTGCTGGCTGGCGGCATTGGAAAAGGGAGAAGGAGGAAGAAATCCCACCACCCCCCCCCCCCAAAAAAAAAAAACTTTCCATAGTTGCTTTGGAAATCCTTTTGTCACAAAAAATTTCCAAAGCCACAACCCAGCCCCCGCCCAGCCCTGGAAGAACCGCAGCGTTGCCGAGACCCCCCCAGCCTCACGCTGCGGAGCTCCCCAGAGGCTGTCGGCACTTCCCGGCTTGGACCCCCCCAAACCACCCCACCCCCCCCCCGGCCCTGCCGAGGAGCCCCCGAGCTGGCGGGGAGAGCGCGGCCGAGCCCAGTGCCTCATGTGCTCCTGCCTCTGCTTCGGAGGACGGCGAGCGCTGCTGTGAGGGGCTGTGCCGTGATATATATATATTTTTATATATATATTTATGTTTAAGTATATATAAAATAGATATAAAATGCATTCTAAAATATTTAAAAGATATAAATTATATATACATCATAGATATATATAAAAAATACATTTTTATATATATATAAGCGACATGTAAATATATAAAAAATACTTTTGCATCTAAGTGTATTTTATATATTTTTACGTGTAGCTCATATCTAAGTGTATTAGATCTAATAGATATATAGATAGAACTAATAGATCTATAGATCTATTAGATTTAATAGAAATATACAGATGTATCTAATAGGTGTAAAAGATACATAGATAAATATCTTTAATAGGTGTAATAGATACATAGATAAATATATCTAATAGGTGTAATAGTTACATAGATCTAATTATAGATATAATAGATATAGATATAAGTGCATTAAATAGATATAAGCTTCATGTAAATATATATAAAATAGACATAAGCTACATGTAAATATATATAAAATATATATATACACACACAGAGAATTTAAAAAAATTTTTTTTTTTTTTTTACCCCCCCCTCTGTTTCTCCGGCTGCAGACCCCGCCGTGATTTCCCCCCAAGACCCCACCCTGCTGATCGGCTCCTCGCTGGTCGCCACGTGCACGGTCAGCCCGGACTTTCACCTGAAAGCCGAGGACCTGTACTGGACGCTGAACGGCCGGCGCCTGCCCGCCGCCTCCTACGCGGCGCTGGGCCCCACCACGCTCAGCGTGGCCCTCGCCCACCTCAACGGCTCCAAGCAGCAGTCGGGGGACAACCTGGTGTGTCACAGCAGAGACGGCGGCATCTTGGCCGGCTCCTGCCTTTACGTTGGACGTACGTCGCCGCCGCGGTCGCACGTGCCGGGTTGGCACCGGCGCTCTGTGCCGGGGTGGCTTCGCCGGCCCAGCTGCGAAACCGTAGGAGGATTTGGGGATCCCCGCGGGGATGAACGCCCCGGTTCTCGCCAAAACGTGCCGCCGGCTTGCAGCGGTTGCTCGCGGCTGCTCGGTTTTTAACCTCCCTGCGGTTCGTGCCCGCTGCCCCGACGCGCAGCCGCGGCCTCCGGCTCGCAGGAGCGCGCGGCAGAAAGGCTGTTTTGGCAAACCCTCGGTAAAACTGCACTTGTCCAAATCAATAATCGTAAGATTTTTATCTCGGGCTATTTTAAGGACGATGCTACGTCCTAGGAATACAGAGGCTCAGCTGGGAATGCAGCTTGGATTTGTTTTTTGGGTTGCAGTTGCTGAAAGAAAACGGCTCTGGAGCGGGGTGCAGGCAGGGGTGCAGGCAGGGGTGCAGGCAGGAGCAGGGTGCAGGCAGGAGTTTAAACCCCTCCAGCAAACACATTTGCAGGGCTGGAACCTGGGCGCCATGGTGGTACCACCCGCCGGGACCGCGGGCTGCGTTTCACCACTGGGCCATTTCATCCCCCCTCCATTTTTCTTTTTTTTTTTTTTTTTTTTCTTCCTTTTTTCTCCTCTTCCAGTACCCCCAGAAAAACCAGTCAACATCACCTGCTGGTCCAAAAACATGAAGGACCTCACCTGCAAATGGGCACCGGGGACGGAAGGGGAGACCTTCCTGCACACCAACTACACCCTCAAGTACAAGCTCAGGTGGGGCCGCCTGCCTTAATTCCTATTATTTTTTTAAAAAAACCCACCAGTTTGTGATTTAAAGGCTTTATGGGGTGGTGGGGAAGGGGGAGCCCGATACCTCCTGGCTGGGACCCCTCCGGGGATGGAGCTGGGTGTGCTGAGTTTCCTCGGGTCTCCGCCGCCGTGAGCGCTGGCGGGCAGCCGCGCTCTGTGCGTGCCGGGGAGGAGGAGGAGGAGGAGGAGGAGGGTGAGGAGAAGCAGCCGCGGGGCCAGTAACCCAACACCTCGCTGGCGTCTCACGCTCTCGGTGTTGAGTGGCGGGTAAATGAGCCGCGGTCCCCGTTTCCTCCGGGGATGGGTGAGCATCCCCGGGCTCGACCGCGGCAACCGGCGGGTCCGGGACCGGCACTCAGCACCCGCCCGTAGGTGGTACGGCCGAGACAACACGTGCCAGGAGTACCACACGGCCGGGCCCTACTCCTGCCACATCCCCAAGGACCTGGCCCTCTTCACGCCCTACGAGATCTGGGTGGAGGCGTCCAACCGGCTGGGGGTGGCCGTCTCCGACGTCGTCATGCTGGACATCCTCGACGTGGGTGAGCGACGGCGGCGTGATGTCACCGCCACGCCGGTGACCTCACAGGGCGGGGGGGGGGGGACGGGACGCGGTGGGAGGTGGAGGGGGGCCAGCAGGAAATGGGCGATATGTGAGCAGAATTGCTCCTAATCGAATTAGGCTGTTTTCTCCGAGTTTTGTTGGTTTGTTTTTTTTTTTTTTTTTTTTTTTTGGCATCTGCGGCTCCTTAACCCCCGCGGTGCTGCCTGCGCCAGCCCTGCCAGCCCCTGCCCTGTCCCCGCAGTCACCACGGACCCGCCGCCGGACGTGCATGTCAGCCGGGTGGGCGACCTGGAGGACCAGCTCAGCGTGCGCTGGAGCTCTCCCCCAGCCCTCAAGGATTTTCTCTTCCAAGCCAAGTACCAGATCCAGTACCGGGTGGAGGACAGCTCGGAGTGGAAGGTGGGTCAGCATCACCCACCGGCGGCGGAGGGGACAGTGAGGGACCCCCCACCGCCCCGGCGCTGCCACCTCCTCCCTCTCCAGGTGGTGGACGACGTGGGCAACCAGACGTCGTGCCGCCTCGCCGGCCTCCGCCCCGGCACCGTCTACTTCGTCCAGGTGCGTTGTAATCCCTTCGGGATCTATGGCTCCAAAAAAGCCGGCATCTGGAGCGACTGGAGCAACCCCACCGCCGCCTCCACCCCACGCAGCGGTGAGTGCCGCCGGCATCGTTTGGGGGGTGCTCCCCCCTCCCTTGCGCACACGGGATGTGCGAGGAGGGGGGGGTGGCCCTTCCCCGCTTTGTGCCCAGCACCTGGATTTCTTGCAAAGGAGCCAATTTGGAGCTCGGCTTTCCCAGCTGGGAGCCAAAAAGCTGCTCTTTTTCCTCTCACCCACCATTATTTACGGCACGGCGGTGTTGGGGGTGGGGGGGTGGGGTGGGGTGTGTTGAAGCACGTCGCCGCACAGCAGCACTGACCCCCTTGTCCCCACAGAGCGAGCGGTGGGGGGCTGCGACGCCAAAGGAGGGGAGCAGAACACGACGCTGCGGCGGGAGCTGAAGCAGTTTTTCGGGTGGGTGAAGAAACACGCTTACGGCTGCTCCAACCTCGGCATCAAGCTCTACGACCAGTGGCGCGTGTGGCTGCAGAAATCGCACAAAACACGCAACCAGGTAGGTAAGGAGCCTTTCACACTTCTTTTCCCGGGGTGGGGATGGAGAGGGTGGGATGCACGGTGACCCCCCACCCACCGCTGGGATGCTGGGGGGCTGCGGGGTGACCCCCACCCTGGGGCGCATGGCCGGCGGCGACGCGGGGCTCTGCTCCTCTCTGCAGGTTCTTCCCGGCGATAAGTTGTAGCCCCCGGGGGACTGAGCGCCGGCAGGATGACATGGGGCGCCCGGCGCCCACCCAGGACCACCCGCGCCTGCCCCGGCCCCGCCGGGGGGGAGCAGGAAGGCGGCCAGGGCGAAACGCAGCCCCGCAGCCCCCGGGGATGGGATGGGGTGAAGCGGGGGGGGGCAGGCTGGGCCAGCTCCGGGAGCCTCTCGCGTGTCGCTGGCCCCGTGGGACTGCGGCCCCCGGCCCCACCGCTCGCACCCCGGGGCAGCGAGGGGACCCCCCAGCCTCACTCGGCCGGGGTGGGCACAGAGGTTTTGCTCCTTAATCACCAACCGGAGAAGCCTCTGGGATGAAAGGGGCAGTGGGGGCTTCCCGGGTGTCCCCCCACCCTCGGCACAGTCTCCACCTCTACCACCCTGGGAAGTGATTTTGGCTCTTTTCTCCCCGAGGACCCACGTGCGAGTGCATGAGGGGGGGTCCATCCCCAGGGAGCCACACGGGCTGGTTTGAGGCTGCTGGGGTTTGCCCAGTGCCTGCTCCAATTTTGATTCAAACCAGCCTTATTTTGGTTCCATTTCAGTCAATTAGGAACAGATTTAAGCTTAATGCCAATAAACCTCTGAAACCCCACCGGGGTCTGCGTCAGCGGAGCGGCAGCAGCGTGCGGGGACGGGGATGCAGCGGGCAGCCAAAAGGGACCTGTGTCCCTTGTCACCCCATCCTGGGGCTCCCAGGGGCTTAAGCCAAGGTAGAGGGGGTGGCACTGGGGGGGGGGACACGAGCCTTTTAGATCACACTCCTCAGGCCAGCTCTGTAGGGACAGGTTTATTTTGAATGATCCTAGAAAGGGTGCCCACAGGGCACCCGAGCTGCTGGGGGCCTGGGGGCACAGCTCATCTCAGAGAGGTGATTTGGGGGGGGCTGCTGCTCATGGGGTTCCCTCTGGCAGCGAAGGCAGTGCCCCTCTCAAGGCGGGTCAAAGCAAGGCGGTCCCTTGGCCCTGGTGGTCTTTCCTTGGGCAAAGCCCCAGCACAGAGAGCAGAGCTGGGGAGGGGAACCAGCCCCACGCTGGACCCCTCAGCTGAGGGATGCTCAGGATTTAGGGGAATCCCACTTTTCCCAAAGGGGGGGGAGGCCTCCCCCCCCTTCCAATCTGTGCTCAAGAAAAGGGGTTGAGAGGAAGATGCCCACCTTGCTGAGGTGGTGTAGGTACCAGGGGGGCGGCGAGCAGGGCCCCCGTTCCACGGGCTGGCCCCTCCAGCTGTTCCCACGGGGACACCCATCACTCGCCTTCTTCCGAATCGTACTTGAGGTCTTGGAGAATTTCGCTGATTGCCTCAATGGTTTTAATTAGCCTACGAGAGCGGATGGAAACTATAAATAAAGCCCATATGGAGCGTATTATCTGGGCCGCCTCGCCTTCCCCGCGCTGTTTATGAAACACTCAGCCCGGGGAGGCCGAGGGGACCGCGGCCGCGCGCCATCGCCAAACCCTCCCCGGGGCTGCGGCCGAAAGCGCTTTTGAAGGCACCATCTGGGCCCCCCTGGGCTGGAGGGAGGGGAAATGCGGGGAAGGGGCTCCTAGCCTGGGGGGAGGGGGATGCCGCCATCCCAAAACGGGGAGGGGGGGACCCAAGGCAGGGGGGGCCACCACCTACTTGTGCTTGAGCTCCCGCACCTCCTGCTGATGGGCGTCCACGTCGGGCTGGTCCTGCGCCTGCTGCCGGGCCAGCTGGAGCTGCGCCGTCTGCGGCGGGGACACGGGGGGAGCTGGGACCCCCATAAAAACAGCCCCAGCTCTGCCCCCGGGGCAGCGGTGGGGGCCCCAGCCCAGTACTCACCAGCTGCAGCTTCTCCTGCTCCCGTTCCTGGAGGCGGGCGAGGTGCTGGGCCAGGTCCGGGCGGGCGAGCTCGTCCCGCAGCCGCCCAGCGATGCGCAGCACCTCACGGGAGATGCCACCGAAGGCCACTGTCACCTCGTGCACCAGCTGCCGGTAACGCGGGAAGTCATAGTGGGGTGCGCTGCTCAGGTACGCCCGGTACCCCCTGGGGAGAGGTTGGGGGGGGGGGGGGGGGGGGGGGAAGCCACCGTCACCACAGCCGGGCAGCACCGCAGTGGCAACATACGGCGGTGGCAACACCCTGTGGTCCCCATACTGGTGCTGAGCTCCTTTTGCAGCACCAGGAGGGTTTTCCTGCCCAGATTTAGCAGCTCTCAGTCCCCACGACCAGGCAGCTTCGTCCCTTGCACGGGACGAGCTTGGCAGCTGCTTTTTTTTGAGGGGAGGTGAGGAGGATTTTTTTTTTTTTTTTTTCTTCCTTTTTCGCTCACAAGCCTCTGTCCTGGGAAGTCCATCATCTCCTGTCAGATGCTAAAATAGGATACAGGTGTCCGGTGCGGGGGTCCCTCTGCCAGCTGGAGCTCATCAGCCGTCCCGACGGCCGCCGTTCCGCCCCGGCAGCCTCGTCCCATCAGGATGCAAAATAATTGGGATGGGGTGGGGGGGGCGGAATTCGGTTCCTTACTGGGGACCCCCCCAAAGCTCCAGTGGGTCCTGTCCCCAGCAGTGCTGGTACTCACTCCTCGAAGAGCCGGTACGCCTCGGCCCGCTCGCTCTGCAGCTCCTGCAGCCGCCGCAGCAACGCCTTCACGGCCTCGCCGGTCTGCCGGGGACGGTGGCGGGGGGGATGACGGTGCCACCGGTGCCACCAGCATGACACCCACTCTGCTCCCGCTAAAGGGCCTGGGGATCTGACCTCGGGGCTTTGACCCCCCGCCCCCCCTCCCCACCCCAGACAAGGGCGGGGAACCCAGGACGAGCCTCGCCGCGATGTTTTGAGCTCAGTCTGGCACCGGGACCCCCCCTCATGCTCCCACACCCACGCGTGCACTGTGTGGCACAGGGACACCACCCCCCGGGCACGCTAGCCCCGTACCCACGCACCAGGTTTTCCCCCCCCCCCCGCCTCCCCCGGCCATGTGCACACAATACACACGGGCACCGGGACCCCTCCCCGGGCCGCGCGTGTACAAACCGGATCGGTACCGTGACATCCCCCGCCCCGGCCCACGCATCGGGCCCTTCCCCGCCGTGAGTACACAACGCAGCCACCCGCGCGTGTACGGATCGGTACCAGGACCCACTCCCCGTATGAACGAATGGACCCGGCTCCGAGCCCCCCCCCCGCCCCGCGGCCCCGCTCACCATGTCCGGGCCCGGTGCCGGCCCCGGTGCCGGTCGGAGCGCGCAGGCCCGGCGGGGCGCGGAGGCGGAGCGCGGGAGCGAAGCGCGGTGCCGCCGCCACCTGCAGGCACCGCCCGGGATCGCCGCCGGTCCCGGTACCCCCCTCCCCACACCCCGATAGCCGACCCCTCCCAATCGCCGGTACCCCCCGCGGCCCCGGTACCCGCCCCCCCCTCCCATTCCCTGGGATCACTGCCGGTCCCCGTACCCTCCCCAGTCCTGTCTCCCCCCCTACCCCCTATATCCCCCCCCAATCGCCGGTACCCACTCCGGTCCCAGTACCGCCCCCCGATCCCGGTACCCACCCCCCCCCCAATCGCCAGTAGCCCCCCCTGTCCCCATACCACCCCCCACCCCTGGGATCGCCACCGGTCCCGGTATCCCACCCCCGATATCCATTCCCCCCCCAGTTGCCACCAGTCCCGGTACCACCCACCCCCCCCACTTCGATTACCATGATCACCACCTGACCCAGCACCCCCCCCACACACACACTTTTATTAAAAACCGTGGCCATTTGGGCCAAAAAAACTCCACACCACACGGGAGCAGTCGGAGCGCTGCGATGCTTTATTGGGAGGGTGAGGAGGGGAGGGTCCACCCCTGCCCCCCTCTACTTGACCTTCTTTTTGGGGCGCAAGTTGTTGGTGTGCCCACACTTCTTCTTGCGGCAGTTGACGGCGCGGGGGTGCAGGCGGGCGTAGCACCTGGTGGTGGGGGGGAAAAGGTGTCACCCCAAACCCCGTTTCCCAGGGGAAGGGAAGGGGGAGTGGGGGACACACACGCAGGGACATACTTGCGGCAGATCATTTTGTCGCAGTTGTATTTCTGGGCGAGCTGGCGGAGGGAGGGCTCGATGATGCCCCCCCGCAGGCGCAGCACCAGGTGGAGGGTGGATTCTGAAAAAGGAAAAAAGCGTCATGGCGAGGCTGGGGAGCAGCCGGTACACAACCCACAGCCCTCCCTAAAAATAAAGCAAAATAAAATAAAATAGCGCAGGGCACGGCGCAGTGTTGGGGAACCTTTCTGGATGTTGTAGTCTGCCAGGGTGCGGCCATCCTCCAGCTGCTTGCCCGCGAAAATCAGGCGCTGCTGGTCCGGGGGGATCCCTGCGAGAGAAAAAGCGGCAGGGTGGAGAACAGGGGTGGGGTTTGGGGGCGTGGGGGGACCCCCCAGTCCCAGTCGGTACCTTCCTTATCCTGGATCTTGGCCTTGACATTCTCGATGGTGTCATTGGGCTCTACCTCCAAGGTGATGGTTTTGCCCGTCAGTGTCTTGACGAAGATCTGCATCTTGGCACTGGCCGCGCCTGCGGGGACCAGCGGCCGTGTCACCCCCGCTGGGGCCCCGAGGTCCCTTCTCCCCACACTGCGAGCCCCCAAAGCCTGACCACCACCATGCCTGACCCTCCATCCCTGATCCCCTCAGTCCTGTTATCCCCCCCCCCATTCCCAATCCCCCATTCTCCCCCCCCCCATCCCCAATCCTGACCCCTGGTTCCCATTCCCCCCAATCCCCATTCTCGATCCCCCAACCCCTCAATTCCCAAACCCCCATTCCCGTTCCCCCCAATCCCCATTCCTGACCCCGACCCCCCGTTCCCATTCCCAATCCCCCGACCCCTCTGTTCCCCCCGACATTCCCCATCCCCCACCCTCTGATCCCGTTCCCCCTGTTCCCATTTCCCCCATTCCTATTCCCCCCAATCCCCGTTCCCGATCCCCCAACTCCTCCATTCCAGAAGCCCTGTTCTCCCGACCCCCCATTCCCGCTCTCCCCTCCCCCTGTTCCCGTTTCCAATCCCCCGACCCCCTAATTTCTGTTCCAGATCTCCCATTCCCGTTCCCCCTGCCATTCCCGATCCCCTGGTCCCGTTCCCCCCACCCCCCGTTCTCATTCCCCCCGATTCCGATCCCCCGTCCCCCCCACCCCCCGTCCCCCCACCCCCCCCTTCCCCCCAGTCCCGACCCACCGTCCCCGTTGCCCCCAATCCCCGTTCCCACCCCCTCGCTCCCCATTCTCTCCCCCTCCCCCGGGGATCCAGGCCCCGCGCGCACCCGCCGCCCTCGCTGACGAGAAAAGGGGCGCCCGGAACCGGAACCCGCCCGCCGTGCGTCACGACCGGTGCGTCACCGCCCCGCCCCTTCCCCCCCCCCCCCCCCGCCCTGCGCAGGCGCCAACCGTTCCCGCCCGCGTTCGCGCTTCTCCTCCGGGACCGCGGCTGGAAGCGACGGGGCCGGGACGCTCCCCCGGGCGGGGTTGAGGTGCGACACGGGGCAGGCGAGAGCCCCAGGGAAACGCCGCTCAGGCTCTTCCCCCGCAGGCTGTGGGAAAAACACCCGGGGCGAGTCCGTGAGGAGCACGGAAAGCCACCCCCGTGAGCCTCAGAGACAACGCACCATAAGAAATAACGCCCGTGCCCCCAAACTCTGCGTCGAAGGTGTGGGGGTTCTGCTGCTCTCCTGACTGCACAAGTGATAAAAGGACAAGAGGCGTTTCAAACCCAACGTTTTACTGATTTACCCCGAAGCGAGGCGCGGGGTTTACACTACGGTGGCAGTTTAGAGGCAGAAGGGCGGCCTTCTTCATTCTGCTATCGCTTCCCTCAGCCTTCGCTTCCCTCTTCCCCCCCCCCAAAAAAGAAAAAAAAAAACAAAACCCAAACCACACAAATATAAATACAGGATAGAAAGTTTTCCAGGGGCAGGCAGCAGCAGCGCAGGACCGGCACACCTAGTCCAGGTCATTGGTTGTGTCTTCATCTGTGAGAGTCTGTCCGTTCACGGCCGGTAAATCGTACTGGCCTTGGGATAAATCCTCAAAATCCTGACTCATGGTGGGAGAGATGATGTCAGGGCTGGTGTCGCAGGACTCCGTGCTCTGCTCAGAGGTAGCGATGGTGGTCGTCGTGCTTTTTGGGACGGGGTCGAAGTCGTCATCATCTTCTAGGATGGGAGATTCATGGATGTCTGGAAGGGAAGATGCAAACGTTACTTTTGGTGCGGCGGCCGCGCTGCCGGTGCGATGCCAGCGATGAGACACACCCTGGCAGAACAATTTGCTTATTTCCAATTCTAAATTTTGTCTGCTTGTAGCAGTAATCGATAAACAACGGATATCGCATAAATTATCAGCCATCTGTAACTTCTTCCAACTGCATTTAATGTAATCAAGAAGCTCTCCAGGCTTTTAGCGCAGCACCTGGACATCTCTTCGGCTTCTCCCAGCTCCTGAGAGCTGCCTCACGATTTCTTAGGAAAAATGGACTTTTCACACGGGAAAAACACTGAGAGAAAATCCAAGCACCTGAAGGAATCACTTACTGCTGAAAGCCTCTGGGTACTGCTTCGCCAGCTTCCCTTTCAGTGTCCTGGGGAGGAGAGAGCAAGTTAAGCCCACGGGGAAGCTGACAGGTACAGAGCTGAGCTGCCTGGCTGGTAAAATACATCTCAGGGGGTTCCTGGGGCTGAGGGGCTCCCTCCCCAGCCCCCCTATCATCCCCTCTCAGCATGCCAAGTGTTTTTCTCTGAGTCCTGTGGTTTGGAACCCAAACGTTTCACCCTGAGGGAGCGTAGACTGTCCTGGCTGGAGCAAAACCTAAAATCCTAAACCTTCAGCCCCCATGACTCCTCTCCTGCTGCCTCCACGCGTCTCAGCTGCTCGTTTCCCCCTCTCCAACTATTTTTACTTTCAAGCTCGCTGACTTGTGTCCTGTTTTACCACTCCTGCAGCCCACCTAGACCCCGAGGAACCACCCCGTGCCACCTCCCGCCCCGCCGACATTCCCGTTGACCCACCGGATCCTCCGGAAGATGCTGTCCAGATCTTTCTTCATTTCCACCAGCGTCTTGGTGTGGTGGAGGAAACGCTCGTTCATCTGCTGCATGCGGATGCTGGAGAGGTTGTTGAAGTTGAGGAGCATCTCATTTGTTTTCTCAAACCGATCCAGCCTGAGCGGGGGATGCAGACGGGGCTCAGCAAAGATCCCGGTGCTGGTACCGGGCTCCCCACAGGTCGGTTCCCCCCCCGGCCCCAACCCAGGACTCACATGTTTTTTTGAGCCAGGATGATGGCGTTGACGTCCTCGGTGTTGACCATGCCAAGCACCCGCCCGCAAAAAACCTGCGAGGCCGTGGGCTCCATCGCAGCCTGCGGGATCGTGGGGGGGGGGCGGCTCAGCGCGGGGTGGGGGGGGGGGCAGTCGGTAACGGAGACACCTCCCTCCCCCCCCCCCACTGCCACCACGTCCCTGTTAACGGGATCTCCTCCGCCCTGCCATGCTGTCCGTACCTGAGCTACCCCAGCCCGGTCCTACACGCACCCAACGCCGATAACAAGCCGCGCCCCCGCCCGCCCGCCGCCTCCCGACCCCAGTAGCGCCCACCCGGTACCGGGCTCCCTCGGGGAGGGGGCGGGTGGAACGGACGGGACATGGGCTTGGGTCCCTCCCGGTGCCTCCCGCCGGTATCGCCCGCGCACCTGGGGGAGCCCCGTTCCCGCCGCTTCACATGACGGGAGCGGCACCGACCGCCGCGCCTCGCTTCCGGGTGCGGGGTCACGTCGAGCGCGACCCCAAAGCGTCAGCGCGCCTTTGCGTCACGGCGCCGAGCCGGAAGTAGTGGCGGCTGGCAGAGAGAGAGCACCGGGACCACCCCGCCCCCGCCGTGGCTCGGCGGCGGCCCCTTTAAGACGGCGCAAAGCTTCGCTGACGAGCGTTCTCCCCACCCAATGGCGTCAGCGCGGTGGGCGGGTCCAGTCCAATAGGAGCGGGCGGGGCGGGGCCGGCGGCCGCTGGTTCGCGGGTGGGGGGGTGCGCGGCGGCGGCGGTCGTTGCTGGGGGCGGGAGGGGGAATCCCGGTGCGTGACGGTGACAGTGACGTGGGCCCCGCGGGGGTGGGGGGAGGCACGTGGCGGCGGGGGGCGCGCGGGGTGGCGTATCCCCGGTACCGGGTCGCGGCCGCGTTCCCGCCCCCTCCTCCAACGGGGCCCGTTCCTTCCCTGGAGCCGGCGGGATCTCCCCTGCCCGAGCCGCGCATCCCCCCCACGAGGGTCCCGGGCCTGGCGGCCGCGTCCCCATCCCATCTGTCAACCCCCGGTAAGCGTAGGCCTGACCCCTGCCCTCTCTCCCCTCTCCAGGTTGCTCCGCCGCGATGGCCTCCAGCGGGGAGGAACCGAGGAGCGGCTCCCCGGGGAGGGCAGGCACCGGCACCGAGCTGTCGCCCATGGGTGATGCCGCTCAGCTGGACACGGCAGAGGATTTCGAGGTCCTGGAAGAGGAGGAAGAGGAGGAGGACCTGAGCGAGCTGCCCCCGCTGGAGGACGTGGGCAGGCCGCCGGCCCCGCAGCGGGAGGACACCCAGCCCCAGGAGCAGGGCAGGGGGGAAGTGGCTGAAGACTCCCAGGAGTGGCTCGATGTTTTGGGTGAGAGCCCAGGCGGGAGTGCGCTAGGCTTGTGGGGGCTCATGGGCTTCTCCGCAGCTCGGCCGTCACTCCCATGCCATGAAGGCTGCCCAGGAGTCAGAGGAGGGTGGTGGGAGACAGGGTTTTCCCTACCCACCATGGGCTAACATGCATCTGGCTTCTCCTTGCCCAGGGAGTGGCTTGCTCAGGAAGAAGACGCTGGTGCCGGGCCAGGGGGTGGACACCCGGCCACGCAAGGGCCAGAATGTGACCATCCGCCTGAAGGCCACGCTGGAGGATGGCAGTGTGGTGGAGGAGAACCCTGCCCTCACCTTCACGCTGGGGGACTGCGATGTCTTGCAGGTCAGGGCTGGGAGAAAGCTTGCCTGGATTTATCGCTGCCTTAATTTTGCCCTGCAGATCAGGACCTCACCTTGGGAGGCCTAGGGAGGGTTTGGGGTCAGCAACATCCGCGTTTGAAGGTTGGAAGCAGCCCCTCTGCCCTTGCTTATGCTCCCTCCCCATGGTGTTCTTCTGTGCAGGCTCTGGACTTGTGTGTGCAGCTCCTGGAAATGGGGGAGACGGCTTTGATTGTGTCGGATGCAAAGTATTGCTATGGCACTCAGGGCAGGTGAGTGGGGAGGGCTCAGGATGGGGCAGGATGGCCCCAAACAGGGCTGTGAAAGCTGTCCTCTGCTTTCCCAGTGACAGCCCAGCCAGCAAGCCACACCTTCCACAGATAGGGAGACCCAGCTTGCTTGCCACATGCAGGGGATGGCAGCGTGTGTTGCCTGGGGCGGGAGGTGATCTGCATCACAGCCCATCCCAGGGAACTTCTGTGGCTCTGATTTCTGGGCCGTGGTGCTAAATTTACATGGCCCAGTGGCTGGTGGGACTGGCAGAGGTGGCAGTTGGTGCCACGGCTTTGTGCCCTTCTCTGCGCAGGAGCCCTGACGTCCCACCCAACGCAGCCCTCACCCTGGAGGTGGAGCTGCTGGCGGCTCAGGATGCACCGGACCTGGAGCTGCTCAGCGGGAAGGAGAAGATAGAGCTGGCCAACCGCAAGCGGGAGCGCGGCAACTTCTTCTACCAGCAGGCAGATTACGTGCTGGCCATCAACTCCTATGACATCGCCCTCAAGATCATCAGCTCCAGCTCAAAAGGTACCTACTCCCACCCTGGGCGAGGGTCGCCTGGGCTCCCTTCCTGCTGTAACCTGGCTCTGGGATTTTCACAGTTGACTTTAGCCCGGATGAGGAGGCTGAGCTACTAGATGTGAAGGTGAAATGTCTCAACAACCTGGCAGCCTCTCAGCTTAAATTGGACCATTACGAGGCAGCCCTGAAGTCCTGTAACCTCGTCCTGGAGCACCAGCCGGGGAACATCAAGGCTCTTTTCCGAAAGGGCAAGGTGAGGCCAGGTGTGCGGCAGGTGCTGCAGTCCCTTCTCCACAGCAGGACTGAGGGACAGGCCTCAGCCGTCCTGCTCAAGTCGCATCTCGCTTTCCAGGTCCTGGCTCAGCAGGGCGAATACAGAGAGGCCATCCCCATCTTAAAGGCGGCGTTGAAGCTGGAGCCTTCAAACAAGGTAGGCTGCTGTTGTATGCTGCCACTGATCCTGCTGAGCTGGGTGTCTGTCAGATGCTCTCCTCTTGGCCATGTTCCTGCACACCTCGGTGTCCCCTGTGGAAGGCTGAAGCCGCCCATAGCCATTCCCAGCTTTTTCCATGAAGGGAAGCTGGAAATTTCCCCCACCGCCTGGGCAGCCCTGGGCTGATATACCCCATGGTGCAACATCTGAGCTCGGCTGGGCTGGTGAGTCCCTTATCTCCATGTTGCGAGACTCTCTCTTTGCCCTTTGGTCCTTGTGGTGGCAGGACTCCCTGCCAACCCATACCTGCTCCAGCGATCCTGCGTGTACGGTTCTGGCTGCTCCGGCTGGCTCCAGTGGCTTTTGCCATGGCTCCGGGAAGCGGAGCAGAGCTGAGTCCTCGCCGACTCGCTCGGCGTCTCGGAGCGTGATTCACTGGGCGGTGGGAGCAGCCCAGACCTCAGTCCAGTGCCCAGGCCAGGGCAAGCTCTGGGTCAGGAATTTCCTGTCAGTTAATGATCAGCTGCAGGACTGGAGCCTCGGGAGAAATCAAAAGCCAGCACCAGGAAATGGCTGCAGCAGGATTGAGCCTGGGTGAGCTGGAGGAGAGGCAGGGAGGTGCTGCCCGCATGGGGTCGAGGCGGGGGGCTTAGTTCTACAGGTGGGCTTTAGTCCTCAACTGGGTCTGTTGTTTTATCCACTTTCCTGGGAGTTTCACCAGACCATCATGATTTGTGTCATGATCTGGTGCCTGAAGGGCACAGGGAGGATGGGGCACTGGGAAAAGCAGGTGCTCAGTGGTCCCACAGCACCTGCAGAGCTCGTGGTCTGCTGTCACTCCCAAGGAAGGATGAGCAGGATCTCAAACCCTTCGCTTCCCAGCAAGGTTAGGGTGGGCAGCTGTGGTGAGTGAGAGCACAAGCGATGCAGGCAGCGTCGGGAGCAGCTTCCCCCTGTGCATCTCCAGCATGTCAGTGTTGGTGGGGTTGCTGCTCGCCAGCCCGTTCAGATGAAGCTTTTAATTGGAGAGGGGTGAAAAATCAAAATGCCCGGCAGTGACGTTACCAGTGAAACCACAAGTACAGCAAATTACTGGCCTCTCCGGCTGACTGCCGGGACTCCTGGGGAAGTGGCCGTGCCACTCCAGACAGCAGCGTTAAACATGCGTCGGTGAGTCACGGGCTAAGGCTAAGGGTGGTGAAAACAGACTCGAGAAATGTTCAGCTCCACCTGCCTCGGATGAGGAAACCTGGTTCTCTGCGGCTGTCGGCCCCTTTCAGCTGTGACAGACCAGCAGCCACTGGGCTCCCTTCTCCTGACCCCTTGGAAAACACACGTTTGGGGAGTGGGGTGGGGATGCCAATGTTTGTCCTACACTGATGTGCCAGTCCCGGTGAGCTCGGGGGTGCCTGCAGGTGCTTTGCACCCTCCAGACTTCCAAAGTCTCACGTTCAGGGTAGCAGTGTTGAGCATGGCATGGTCTGGTGAAGCCCTGGCTGGTCCCCAGGCGAGCTGGCGTGGGCCAGTCCGTGTGAGTGGCTGGGGCCAGTGTTTTGGGGAGGTTGTTGGAGCCACCCGGCTCATGGCATCCCCAGCAGAGGGCACAGCATGGTCGCAGCACCCGACGGTTGGGCCACCGCAGCCACTGCGACGTCCTTCCTGCTGCCGCCGGCTCTGGGAATGGCTGGTGGTTCCACGCTCGGCTCGACGGTGCTTCTCACTGCTTTTTTGGGAGCCTGTGAGCTCCGTGCAGGACGCAGAGCTTTCTCCTGCGATGCTCCCCCCTGTCCCAACCATCACTGCTGCTTGGCACAGCCAGGCAGGTACCGACATGCTCCTGGATCTTGCTGCAATCCTGCTTCAAACCAGGCTGAGTTTAAGCCTGCTTTCCCAGCCTGCTTCCAGACAGAAAAGTGGGAGAGCTCGGTCATGTCTGTCCCCAAGGCAGACACTTTTCCATCTTGATCAAAGAAGAAAATCCTTTTCCCAATGTCTGGCATCAGCCCTGGGCTCTGCTCCCTGCTGCCAGGCTGGGAATGGCTTGGGTGGCCAGAAAGCATAGAGGGGCACCCAGACCCACGGGGCACTCAGCCTGGATGTCCCATGCCAGCCTGGTGCAGCTCCTCAGTGCAGGGGAGCAGGGCAGGATCTGGCCATCAGCCCCCCTGGCTGCTTCTAAATTGTTCCACGAAGCTCTTCCACGGCCCCAGGGTGATCAGATCTGTTGTTGGTGGCACTGCAGTCCCTGTCCCCTCCCCTGCACCACAGGGATGGTGCAGGGCTGATAACCACAGCGCCGCTCTCTCCTCCCCAGACCATCCACGCTGAGCTCTCCAAGCTGGTGAAGAAGCACGCGGACCAGAAGAACATGGAGACGGAGATGTACAGGAAGATGCTTGGGAATCCCAGCGCCGCCGGCGCGCCGGGGAAATGCAAAGACAAGCTGCCCTGGGTAAGGAGTAGTGCTGACCTTCGGGAGATGGTGGCAGAGCGGGTTGGGTGGGGGGTCACCCCTGGGGTGGGGGGAGCGCTGGGCTGGGCACAGGGGATGTTTTTAGTGTCCGCCAGGTCCTTGGGGGTCAACACAGTCCTGCTCCCAGGCGGGGTGGGGGTTGCTAATGTGATGTGAGGGCAGCAATCCTGGCGGGAGCTGGGGGCCCACGCTCCAGCAGCTTTGCCAGGAAAACACCGAGAGTTGCGGCTGCGCTTCTGGCTCCGTCCGCCAGGTCCCGGCGGTGCCAGCTGGAGAGTCCGGACTTTGCTCCCAGCTGCTGCGGTCGGGAGCCTGCTGGCTGTGCTGGTGGAAAGCCCTGTCAGCTGGGCAGAGCCGGTGGCACACGCTGTCCCCGCGGACGTGCCGGCCACGCGCCGGGCAGAGCCGACGCAGCGCTTGCCTTTTTGGGCTGCGATATCTCGGATGCGCATTGGGAGCTCGGTGCGGCCCCGTGCCAGCGTAGGCAGGGCCGTGCGGCCCCGCTGCCAGCGAGCCTCAACGCCACGCCGCCTGCATCCCGTCACCTTGCCGGTCTCTCCTCTTTAGTCCATCCCCTGGAAGTGGCTCTTCGGTGCAACAGCCATCGCGCTCGGTGGTGTGGCCTTATCCGTGGTCATCGCAGCGAGGAACTGAGGATGGTGGCGGAGCGGCCCCGCAGCACAGGACCTGCGCTGGGACGTGCCTCTCTCATGTCAAGGGGCTCCACCGACCCCTCCCCACGGACTCGCAGTTGCAGAAACACTAATGCTTTCTCTGCCGGGGTGCCGGATCCCCCTCCTGACATCCCCCCCATACCCCTCCCGGCGCAGGCGGGATGCAGCTGCAGGGATGGAGCCGCAGGAAGAGCAGAGACACGCGCCCCCCCAAGCACCCTCCTGGAAATTGGGAGCCCAGCCCCGAAGCGTGTCAGGGGGGAGCGGGAGCTCCTGCACACCAGTCTGCTGTCACTGTCCCCAGCCTGGTGAGCCCCACTGGGCACCATGGTCCTGCCGACGTGGCGGGATGGGCAGGGGGGAAGCGTGTGGAAGGAAGCCATGTGGGGTATGAGCAGGCAGGGTGGTTTCTGCGGCCGGGCTGTGGGAAGGGAAGCGATGCGGACGTGCCATGGGGCATGTGCAGTGCTATTCCTTGTGTCCTGGGGGGCTGCCAGCGGCTCAGCCCTCCCGCAGGCACCCGCTCCCCTCCTTGGCACTACCCCCAGAGCGTGCAATGTCCAAAGGAAGCCAAAGAAACCCGTGGCGGGAGGGTTGCAGGAGGGGAGCACTGGAGACCCCCTCGCCAGGCTGTCTCGTGTAGGTCCAAGCTCTCGGAGTCCCGCTTTGCCCTGCAGCTCTCTCCAGCCTGGGGCCGCCCCCGGGGCCTGCTGCCGCTCCAGTCCCAGCTCTGCTCATGGATTGGGGGGGTGGGGGGGTTGTAGTACTGTCCTCCTGCCCCAAACTGACTGTGAACTTCCCAAATAAAAGACAATTCCTTCATGCCGGGGCCTCTTCATTACCAGCGCAAGGGGGGATACTCCCCTTGGTTGTCCCCCCCCCCGCTTTTGCCACATGTCCATGGCTGCAGCAAGAGCCAGGAGAGGTTGTTTAATTTGGGGGAGAAATTTTTATGGACCTCTGCGCAGCTCTGCCACTGTTGTGGCAGGAGAGGACAACCCCCACAGCAGGGGATGCTCCAGGAGTGGGGTCACTTGCCTCCAGTGAGCACGGAGCCACGCCATGGGGGTCTCCCCAGGCCCTGCCCGGGGTTGGGGGGAGGACCTGGGGCTTACGGGCCCTGCCCGGGGGTGACGCCCGGGCCCCCCAAGCCGTGTCCGGGGGGGTTATGCCCGGGGGATGGGGGACACCCGCCCGCCGCCCCAATCCCTCGGGGTCCTCCAGCGCTGGAGGGCTGCACCAAACCACCCTCCCCGCCATGCCCCGCGGCCTTGTTTTGCATATCCCCGCCTTCCTCTAGCTATCATCCAATCCAGCGCGGCGGCAGATGGGGCCTGGCCAATGGGACAGCGCGCTGCCCACCTCCTTGCCCCAGCAACAGGCGCCCTGGGTGGGCGGGGCTGGTGGAGAGGCGGTCGGGCGTTATGAATAATACATAAGGGGGGCGTGGCGGCGGCGGGAGGCCCCGGCGGCCCAGGCGCGGAGGGGGAGACGGTCCCAAGATGGCGGCGCTGCAGCCGGAGCGCGGGTACGGGCTGTCCTGCGGCCGCCTCGGCCGCGGCACCCGCGTCTCCGTCTTCCACGTCAAGCTCACGGAGAGCGCCCTGCGCGCCTTCGAGAGCTACCAGGCCTGTAAGGTAGGGGCGGCGGGCGTGGGGCGGTGGGCACGGCCGGGCGGGCGGGCGGTTGGTCGCCACGAGGCCCTGGCCGGAGCCCCGCGGGCGGCACCGGTGGGGTTGGCACCGGCGTCGGTGTTAAACGAGAGGAGGGGGTGTCTCTTCGTGAGGTGGGGGGGGGGGGGGGGGGCTCGGTCCTGCCGCTGTGGGGTGTGTAGTGGGGGGCGGACCCCGGCGGATGACTGGGGAAATTGGGGGGGGGGGAGGAGGCGAGGGGTGTGAGGCCCTCCCCGGTGAGAAACCGAGATGTGGGGTGGGGGGGCCCCCCCCGCCCCCCTTTCTGCGGGGGAAACCGGAGGAGGGGGGCGATCGCATGGTTGGGTGGCGGAGGGAGACCGGAGGGGGCTTGCTGTGCCCCCCGGTAACGCCCTGGGGGTACCCCGGTGTCCAGCCCCACGCCGTTGGTGTTTGAGGGGGCCCCGTGGGTCCCTCCCGCCACGAGAGGTGACCGGAGAGGGGTCGTGATCCTCCGGTAAGTGCCTGAGGGGGAACCGGGAGGTGTCGATGGAGCCTCCCCGGTAGCGGTTGCCGGGATCCCAGTATGGCCCCCTGCCCCCCCCCACCCCCCCCCCGGTGGGTAACTGGGGGACCCCGAGGGCTCGGTGCCGCCTCCCGGTAGATACTGGGGGGGTTGGGGGGTGGCTCTCGGTGTCCTTCCGGTAGATGACTGGAAGCCACTGTCGGGCCCCAGTAAGTGGCTGGGGGAGGCGATGGCCGTCGGTTCCCCCCCCGCCCCTCCGCCCGGTGAGCTTGGGAGAGGGTGCGGCCCCCCCACTCCCCGCCTCCCTCTTCACCGTGACGTGGGTTTCCAGGGCCCCGGGGGGGGGGGGGGGGGGGGGGGGGGCCGGTCTTACCCCGGGGACGTGTCGTGGGGGGGTGGGGTGGGTCCACCCCCGGTGCTGACATCCCGCATTTTGGGGGGGGGGTGTCCCCCCTTCCTCCCTGCCACCCTCTCCAGGGCACCCGGCTGTGTGTGTGTGTGTGTTTCCCCACCACCACCCCAGCTCGGTGCTCTGTTCCCCGGAGGGAGGTGGCTTCAGGCTGGGGCTGTATTTTGAAATTTCCAGATTGTCTTTTCTGAGATGTTCCCTTGAAATGCATCCAGAGAGCTTATTAGTCATGTAAATAAAGAATAATGGCAATACTTGGTATCTGTCATTAGGATGGACTGGAGAGGGATTAAAAGCTGTCCTTTTTATTGTAATTTTTTTTTTTTTTTTTTTCCGCCTGTGATCCTGCGAAGAGTGTATCTGTCTCCTCACCTTGCCAGGGAGCTGGGGGAAGCTGGGAACCTAACCCATTTGTCATTAGGAGCGTCCTGCCTGCCAGCTTCTGTAGGATAAACCATATGTTGTCACAACACTATTTTTAATTTAGGGTGTTGGTTACATCACATCACTGAATTGGGTAATTTCTGTATGAGGATGAAGGTAATTACTGTACCAGGGTTTATCAACTTATATTTTAATGAGTGTTTATCAGCATTATGCGAAGTCAGTAGCAATAAGTGCTTGGGATAGATTGAGTTATTAGCTTTTTTCCTGTAAAAAAGAAAACAGAATACAAATAAACGCTTTCCTATATATTAGGAAAGCTTTTTCTTTTGAGGGAGGGAGAGTAGGAAGACTACAGGCAGCTGTGTTAAATATTTTGGGAAGCTATTCTGAGTCCGTGTCACACATGAATAGTGGTGTTTATTTTCTAAATGAAGTCTGGTCTTTAGATTGTTTGGTGGCCAACGGCCACTAATGAACTTTGCTTCCTTCACCGCCACCCAAAAGAGAAATAGTCAAAGGCTACTGGTGATTAAATGGGCAGGAAAGGATAAGGGCAGAAGAGCTCACTTGTTTGTATAGTGAATAACGCAACAATTAGTGGGCTATTAAACACATATGCTCATTCTACATTTGTTCTATAAACAGTTTCTCCAGCTTGTTGAATGTCTCTGCTTCCTCTGAAATGCTCGGCTATGGTGATGCCAAGAAGCAACTTTATAACACACCTTTGGAGCGTGTGTTTGTTCAGTCTAGGCTCTGATTTAATTTTGGTCCGCAGTAGGTAAATGGAAAAAATTTGCTAAGGCTGCTTCTGCTCGGTTTGGTTTGAAACGTGGTATAACTGACGACAGCGTTGTGTAATATGTATAATGGCCTGGAATCCAATACTGCTGTTTGTGTTACCTGAAGTCCAACATGTGTGCAGTCTGACCTGTTTTATGCACTGGGATAGCACGTCAGTGCGATTTCTGCGACAAGTCTCTCTGTCTCTTTGCCAGAACAGGCAGGCTAATGTCTTCAGTTGCTTGCTTGAGTTTGTTCTTGGTCTAATAATAATGTATTGGGATTACATAATCCAAAAATGATCACCCAGCCGGGCGAGCTGCCATTTGTTTTTAGTGTCCCTTGTGCCAGAGCAGTTGCGTTCTTGGTGTGGAGCTGTACCATGTGTGGATCAGGCAGCAGGACTATGAAGAAACATATTTGTCGTCTTGAGTGTTTCTCAATTGGGTCTCTGCTAAATGGTCTGTATCCTGGTGAAGAAAACGGTCGCAGGTCTGCAGATTGATACCCAACTCTGTGTTTCAGCGAGCTGTTTCTGTATCATGCACCAAGATCATGGAGCTGTGGCTGAAGAGGTCCAGATCACAGGGCTGCCGGCTCCTTGCGAGCCATAAAAGGATTTCTGTCTCTGTCAGCAGTGGGGTACGCTCACCTGAAAGAAATACAAATCTTAAAAAAACAAACAAACAAAAAAAAACCCCCCAAAAAAAAAAAAAAACAAAAAAAACAAAACCAAACCCCACAGGCTTCATAGGGGACACTTTAAGATGTCACCCATCTGTTCCTTGTGAAGCTTGCTGCCCCTGAAGCTGCTTCCGCGCAGTTGTGAAACCATGAGCACTGACTGCTGAGCTCTGCAGCTGAAGGCTGAGCGGTGGAAAATGTGTCCCAAGTCAATTTGTCCACTGATGAAATGGAGCCGGTTTGGTGTGTTAGCCTAAATCAACTCCTGGTTCTCCAAGGAGTGTAATTCCATATTAGCTTGCAGTTTTCTGCATTCCCTTTGGGTGTGTGTACAGGCTCTGTTTAGGCCTTCCTAACTCAAAAAAAAAAAAAAAAAAAAAAGGCAGGAAGGCAGGGGATGAATTTTTCCCCATCTCTTCTGGTCTGCCTCCAGCTTTCTTGCTGCCGATGTCAAGGTACAAGAGAACTCTTCCTGCCCCTACTTTGTTTTCCTCTTTCATTCTTTGTCCTGGACCCTGTCCTGCATGCTTGATGACTAGATGTTGTGTCTGTCCTCGCCTAATACACCTAGATATGTCTCCACCCATGGCATTCATCCTTTGCTTTTCACACCCCCTTTTTTTTTTTTTTTTTTTTTTTAGCAACATCCTGGGGGGTTTCTGGGTGAGTAGAAGTCTCAATGCATGATTTAAAATGCTACATGGTAGAGCTGAATGTCGCTTGGCTGTAGGTACCTCTCCTCGTGCTGTTGTGGTGTGGGTGCTGATGGCATGTAAACAGTGGTAGGGCTGTTCCTGGAACCCTTACCTTGGAATTTCCCAACTTTCACACATTTATTCAAAAACTCTTTGTGGCTTGAGGAGCGGTACTAGTGAGCTTGTGTGATGGATCGTCTTTTTAATAATGGATGACGTGACTGCAGCTGCACACCTTTCTCTATTATCTGTGGCTTATGTGCTGGCCTAACCATAGCTGATGGAGGCCAGGCTTATGTCCTGGCTTGTGTGGTAGCCTTGTGATTTTAGGAGGCTGCACAGAGGGTCGGTGCATCCCTGCGTTGGTCAGCGCGTGGTGCAGCAGCTGACCAGTGCCTCCTGCTCCCCTTGTACCTCTCCGCCGCTGCTACACGGAGTATTTTGAACTGAAGCCACCGGTTGATTCACTGGTGAACTTTGGCAGATGCACAAATATTTATTGGGGGCTAAGCTGAGATAACCAAAGCACATTGCCCCTGTGCCCTACTAGCTGAAATGAATTTTGGAACCATGGTCTGACAGACCTGGCTTCCCAAATCATCTTCCCAGTGCCTTCTGTGCTCTTCAACCGACTGTGGCAGAAGCTTTCTCAAAGGTTAGGGTTAAACCGACCCCTTGTAGTCAGTGCTTATTGAAAGAACTTTTTC